TGTGTATATGAAACAGCCTCCAGGGTTTGTCCATCATTAGCATCCTGATTATGTTTGTAAGCTCAATCGGGCTCTCTATGGTCTTAAGCAAGCTCCTCGATCTTGGTTTCAGAGATTTGGCTCCTTCATTACTTCCCATGGTTTTTGCCCTTCTAAATCTGACTCGTCTATGTTTGTTTACCGTAATGGTGGGGACATGGCTGTTCTTCTCCTTTATGTTGACGACATTCTTCTCACTCCTTTTACCTCGCTCATGTCTTCTATCATTGCTCAGTTGAGAAAGGAGTTTGCTATGACGGATTTGGGAGATTTGCATTACTTTCTTGCCATTTCTGTTTCTCGTACCCCTGACAGTCTCTTTCTCTCGTAGTTGAAGTACATTGCAAGCCTTCTTGATGGTTGTTATCTTACTTCTGCTAATCCTGCAATCACTCTTGTTGATACTAAAGCTAAATTGTCTCAACTTGATGGAGAGTTGTTTGCTGACCCATACGAGTATCGTAGTATTATGGGAGCCCTTCAGTATGTTACCTTCACTCGTCCTGATATAGCCTATGTCGTGCTGCAGGTTTGTTGGTTTATGCATCAGCCTCGAGCGTCTCACTACCAAGCAGTCAAGCGCATTCTGCGCTATCTGAAGGGTACTCTTTCTCATGGTCTTCATCTTCAATCTGCACCTCTTGATAAGTTAGTGGCATACTCTAATGCTGATTGGGCTGGGTGTCCGGATACTCGTCAGTCTACTTCCGGTTACTGTGTCTTTTTTGGCCCCAATCTCATCTCTTGGTCCTCTATATGACAACCTACTGTTTTCCACTCTAGTGCTGAGGCTGAATATCAAGCGGTTGCTAATGCTATTTCTAAAGTATGTTGGATTCATTCCTTGCTTTCGGAGCTGTGTATTCGATTGCCTACTCTGCTCTTGTATTTTGTGATAATGCGGTGCTATTTTCTTGTCGACTAATCATGTTTAGAATTAACGTACCAAGAATGTTGAGATTGATATTTATTTTGTTCGTGAGAAGGTTGCTCAAGAGTCTATTCGAGTTCTTCATATTCCTTCTTCTCACCAGTTTGCTTACATAATGACTAAGGGTTTTCCTCATGTACTTTTACGGATTTTCGAGACTGTTCAGATTTTGGGGGGATGTTAGTGTACATATAATTAGGGTATTATTGTAATTGTATATACCTCGTTGTACTATATATATTGGTAATGATAATACAATACCCTTCAAGGGGTTTTACACTTTTAGATTGGCCGGAAGGTCTTTTTTTTTTAATTAAGGGCACAACAGTAATTTTAGAAAATAAGCATTTTATTTTTTTGGTTGCTAAACGCCCGCGCATTGCGCGGGGTACTGTGCTTCTTAAAGAAAAAACCCCCGGGTCATTTCGGGTTATAAAACGACCCGCGAGTGGCATGCCTCCCTTTTTTGTTTGTTTTTCTTTTCTTTAATAGAAATTTGTTTTTCTTTTGTTTCTTTAATAATTTTTCTCTGGTTTCTTTAACAAAAAATTATTTTGGTTTTGTTTGTGATTTTTTTTAGCCTTTCTCTCTATTATTTTTTTCCTTTTGTAGATTTGAGTTTTATTCTTATTTACTTATTTTTTATATTAATGTTTGTCCAAATAAAATTTACATAAATTGATATATAACAGTAACATGTATTAATATACATTTTAAAAATTCAAGTGCGTGATTTTGATTGTTATATTAATAATTTTAAATTACATGTTCATAATAATTTTAAATTAATTTTAATTGTTATATGCATCTTTTTAGAATACATACACATAATCTTTAAATAATTTTTTTTGTTTAATATTTTACAAATAAAATAATATATATTTAAAAAACAAAAATATATACTTATTATAAGTGTAGCTGGCATTTCTTTTTCTTCCGGCTCAGTGTAATCGACTTTGACTCTTACATTCGGCTATTACGCACCACAAACTAATCCATGTTCATAGATCTAGAGTTTATGTACATAATTCAAGACTCCATGGGCATGGATCCATAGTCTATACCTTATGTCCATAAATCCAGACCCTATCTACATGGATCCAGAGCACATATGCATAATTTGAGACCCCATGCGCATGGATCCAGACCCGATGTGCATGGATTAAGACTTCATGTGTATAATTCGCCCAGATAGTATATAAGGTATTACAGGCCAGTGCTATTAGTGACAAAGATCTCCCTTGCATTTACTTTGGAAAAAACTGGTGAAGGAGGTTACGCTTTATTACTAAACTAACAACTTGTTATTGCATTTTTTTCCCTCTCCAATATTATTTTATATTTTTTTGGTTAATTTTAGTGTCGTTTTTTTTTTTAAATTTCATTCTATTATTTCTTCACCTGAACGTTTTTTTTTTATTTATTAAACCTTCTTATTTATATATATTCAATAATATATTAGCAACTCAGAGATAATATTTACAATTATGAATGTAACATGAATATAGATACCCTAACATAAATGAATAAAAAAACATAATAGAAAAAAATAAAATGTGTAAAACTTACCACTAACCTAATTGCAATGGTAATATTGTAATAACTACTCAAACATTTTTTTTTCTTTATATTTTCATTTTAAAATTTTCTCTCTTTTTTTTTACTCTACATTTCTTTGGGTAAATTTTTCCAATATTATAGAAACTTGAAAACAATACGCACTTATTCATTTTATTACACGATTGTAAGTGTTATTATTTACTATTATCACAATATAGTAAATTATGATAAACCAAAACTTCTTGGTTGTAACTCTAATTTCTTAAACAGTTATAGTCTGAATGTTCCGAAATTGAGCAAATTCATGGAACCCACATTCCCAAACAATTAGTGCTAACAAGTATCTAGAGAGAGTTATCTCCGTTATTTGATCCAGTTATAATCTGAATGTTCCGAAATTGAGTCTCCCCGGAGCAGTAATTGATGAACCGTCAAGCCATTTTTAAGAATTTTATTTATGCACAGTTTTCGATAAAACTCTGCTTCACAATGACCATCAACAAATCACAAAAATAGACGCTAGAGTGCATTGAGTTATACTTACGTGAGCCGGTCTGCTGACGTTAGAGGACGAGTGGACACAAAAACTTGAAATGTGGTATTCGAAAAAATATTACAACAACAATAGATTCATAGATTCATGTTATTCGTCATTTTATTTATTGCCTAAGTTAAACAATAGTTGAACAATAGCAGGTACTCCTCTCATTCTATATAAATAGTTGAACAATAGATCTTACAATATCCAAATCAAATACCAAACCATACTTCTACGAAAAAATAATAAACACAACAAATTACTTATAGGATGCATAGCGCATCGAGTGATGGATCACCGGCCGTATCAAAATAGAATACCTCAAACCAAAGATCGCATTTGCTCCACACACGAAATACTGTATTCTTGCCTAAAAGACCTCTCATCTCGAAAGACATAGGAATCAAAGACATCATGTTCAAAAGGCTCACTTCCGGGTGAAACTCTGCTTTGCAATGACAATCAACAAGTGATAGAGACAAATTATGGAGTACTTCGGGTTACACTTAAGTGAGCCGGTCTTCTCTCACAGTCAGTTATATATTGCTCTCTCTCGCACAAGACGTCCACATCCCTAAAAGTATTCCTAATGTTGCCGACGTTAGAGGATGTTATCGAGGATACCAAAACTCGAAATGTGGTGTTCGAAGAAATATTACAACTTGCAATGACTTGATATGGATAAAAAAAAATATAAAAATAGATTCATCTTATTCATCATTTTATTTAGTACATAGTTGTACTTGCTACAATTTAATGCTTTCACTTCATACATAATATTTTATCAATTACTCTTCCAACAACAAAATCAAATAATAACGCAAAATTATTCAAAAACAAAAAGAAAGATAACAAATTATTTACAGAATGCGTCGCGCAACGAGCGACGAATCCTCAGCACTAGTTATAGGATAATTTACAGTAAAAATGAAATCCAAACAATAATAGTTATTTTGATAGAACACACTGTTCTAAGAGAAACTCCACTGTCAAAACTATTGTGATGCACATCATGTATCATCTACTGATGTACTTATCAATTTATCATGTTCGATTCTAATGGGAGATATTTGTAAACTTTCTAATATAGTCAGTCATATGTTTCCCAAGTAATTTGACGAAAATAAATACACGTGACGTGAAAGTTATAACTTGCCAGAAATAAGAAAAAATTTAATCACAAAAATTAAAAAATACTATATATATATAATATATCCTACTATATTAGAAACAAAAACCTCCCTTTCAAACACCTCATATGATTGCCACGTGGCATGTAGAAAATACTAAATTGCCCTTTTGTCTAACCATAACTAAATTACTAAATCTCCATTTGCACTTTACGTGACACGTTTTTTTTTTTAATTTTTTCTTTATGTTTCATTCAACTAGAGTGGTTTTTTAAATTGAATTGATCAATTAGGTTTTTTATTACAAAGTGTCAATTTTGTTTTAAGCGTATACCCTTTGGAGAACATCAATAAATCATCTTACTAAGTATTGATTTGGCACGACCAATGGAGAACATCAATAAATCATCTTACTAATATTTAAATTTATTAGGATGCTTTTATATTTTATCTAACATTTACTTCAACACATATATTCGATTAAGCTATTTATATTTAATAAGTAACACTTATAAAACATTTCTAAAACATACATGGCGAAATACAATTTATTTTGTTTTTTTGCAAAATACAAATATTTCTATGATCACACTTATAAAATATTTCTAAATCCTTCAAACATTACTAAAATATATCGCTCCAAATACAAAATTTTATTTTTTTCAAATATAAACATTTCTAAGATCTACAGATAGACTGGGCCAGGGTCGCGCATTCAGACATCACTAGTATATATATAAAAGAAAATGAAACGGAGTAATAAAAAATCAAAGAAAACATATGTGGACGAAAAACGACCGCGGAAACTTCTTTCCTACAAAATGGCGTGCCAAAATATTCATTTTCAGGTCTCCGCTTTTCGATAGCCGATCCATTCACGGCTTTTTATTTTTCTTCTTTTTTTTGAATTTTGATTTTCTTAATTCGTCCCCCATTTTTTTTTTTTTCTGGTGGATTTTTCGCAAACTGATAAAGTTTGAAAACGACTGACGCGCAAGCACGCTTCTTTTATAAATTTATTATACAACTTCCTCGCATTGCATTCTTCAAATCCCCATTTTTGGATTCGTCCCCAAAAAATCAACCACTTTCCTCATTTACTTGCCTAACTATTTTTTCCCAAATCAGGTAATTTATTAACAATATGTTGGTTCTTCAATTTTTGTTCATTTTTTAGTCACCTGGGTTCCTGTTGTTGCCTTTTTTTATGCTGTCCTGATGATGTTGCTGTCGAATGTTTTACTCTGATGAGTATGGTCATTGTATTAGTGTGATCCGCCCTTTTTGATGTTAAAGCTGAAAAGGATGTGATTTCCTTTTTCCCCCATTTGATGTTTTTGCCTCATTGAGTATGCATGTGCGGATGTGTGTTCTCGGTTTCATTTCTTCATCTGTCATTTCTGAATTGGCTGATGAAGAACCTGATCATGTTTTTGAAATTTGCATTTTGTGCTCAGATATTTGAATTTAAGCTTTAAGTTTTCAGCTTTAGCTATAAAACCAGTCTGGGCTGGCTTTGTTTTTCTTGAATATAATGAAGGTTTCATACTTTCGATCTACATTTTAAACTAAATTATTGCTTTACTTGAATCTGTTTATGGGTTGGCACTGTTAGTTATTTTTAGGAGGTTTACCCCTGATGGATTGGCTTTCAAATTGCAGGTTAGTGAAGTAGTTCTAGATTCTTGGTGAATAAACTATATATATTTTTGGAATTGGAAGATGGCCTCCGTTGAAGCAGTTCAACTTTTGGATGGGACTGCACCTCACTTCTTGGGGTCCAGTATTTGCCTTCGAACGTTGGGGTCAGGGAATTCTTTTAGAAATATGGAAAGATACAGGAAGAGAAGGGGTTTTAAGTTTATGAAATCTTTCAAATGTTTAAGCAGTCCATGTAGGGGTGTTAGGGTTCATAGTCAGTTTCCAGCTATGAAATGTATTTCACACAGATATGTAACCACTGATAAGTCAAGGTTGACGCATTGTAAATGCCAATCAGCGGATCATTTTGGTGGCATGACAGCTGAGGGTGGAAATGGAGCATGGCTTAGGGACGTAGGAAAGGATTTCGCCATAAGTAATGGTAATGTACAGAATCTTGTAGAGTTTGGGACAGTTAAGGAGTCGAATCGTGAAAGCCAATCCTCCAATTATAATGGCGACTCACAATCTAATGGAGCTCCTCATGATGTGTTGAGCAACAATAAGCCAAGCTCCATTGAGGACGAGGCTTGGGAATTGTTGCGAGAATCAATGGTTTATTATTGTGATAGTCCTGTCGGAACAATTGCTGCTAAAGATCCCACCAGTTCAAGTGTTCTAAACTACGACCAGGTCTTTATTCGTGATTTTATACCTTCTGGAATTGCTTTTCTGTTGAAGGGAGAGTATGATATTGTCCGCAACTTTATCCTTCATACACTTCAACTGCAGGTAATATCGTGTTTTGATTCTCTTGATTCCCCTTCTGTTTTACTCTTATTTGTAACTGTTCTCTCACTTGTTATGCCAGGAGTGATTTTTTTCTTTCATTTGTTTGATAAAATGATTTCACATCTCTGCATCTGCGTGAAAAAGGAAATGTCTAACAAGTGAAGATCTTGCTTATGTTTTCCTTTTTTATTTGGAACAGGAATAGCTTCTGTTTACCTACATTAATCAACCTCTCAATTTTGTATGAAGATGTTGAAGTGGTTGCAAAACGGACTGTTTTATTGATATATATTGCATTGTCGTGCATAACATTCATTATGCTCACTCCATTTTTGGCTTGCTGATCTTCTCTCGGACATGGCCAACCTAAAATTTTGTTGTTTATAGCCTGTTATTGGTAGAACGCGGGCAATACAACTGTTTAACTCGTCGAATTGTAGTTTATGAGCAGTACTGATGTTTACCTTTTGGAATTATCTATATACAGAGCTGGGAAAAAACTATGGACTGTCATAGTCCTGGCCAAGGGCTGATGCCTGCTAGTTTTAAGGTGCGCACAGTTCCTTTAGATAATGATGAGACTGTAACTGAAGAAGTGCTGGATCCAGATTTTGGAGAAGCTGCAATTGGTCGTGTTGCTCCTGTTGATTCTGGTAATACCTACTCAGGCTTAGTACTTTATCAAGTATATTGCACTGGTGAGTTAATTTTACGTCTTGTGATGTCTGCACAGGATTATGGTGGATTATTCTATTGCGTGCATATGGAAAATGTTCTGGTGACCTCTCCGTACAAGAGCGGGTTGATGTCCAAACTGGAATCAAGATGATACTGAGACTATGTCTTGCTGATGGTTTTGATATGTTTCCAACTCTATTGGTGACTGATGGTTCTTGCATGATTGATCGTCGTATGGGGATCCATGGGCATCCTTTAGAGATTCAAGTAAGATCCTTGTCTTGGACCATTTAATGAAACTACTACTTTTTTGGTAAGGAAAAACTTATTGAAGACTAGAACCACATTACTGATTTTATTCTCCCGAAGATAATAATTCCATTTCCTCTGTCATTTCTACTGTTTCCCCATGGATAATTTTTTTACATTAGTTATTATCATGATAGTATTGGACTAGTCGCTACTCTACAATGACAGAGGGTACTCATCGGGACTCATTGTGTTGATAATTCTTAAAATGGAGGATGAAGTTAATAAAGTTCCCTTTGGTCTCATTATTTTCAGCAAATGCTGCTAGAAGAATTCTGTTTTTTATTTGGCCCTTCCGCTTTCTCCTTTAACCTCTTAATTGACATTAAGTTGCAATTGTTTCAGGAAATGTATTTGGAAAAAAGATTTCATTGTGCTGAACGTTCAATTTAAAAGACTACCCTGTTCAATTCTTTTAAGACTTAAATGAACTTCCATCTCTATAGTTCATTCATGTTTTAACTTTATAGCTTTGAAGTTTGGGTTCTGATGAGGCAAATAACAACTTCCTTTAATTTTTAATTGTTGCAGTCGCTCTTTTATTCAGCATTACTTTGTGCCCGTGAGATGCTTGCTCCAGAGGATGGTTCAGCTGACCTTATCCGTGCATTAAACAATCGTCTTGTCGCCCTATCCTTCCATATTAGAGAATATTATTGGATTGATATGAAAAAACTCAATGAAATATATCGTTATAAGACTGAAGAGTACTCATATGATGCTGTTAACAAGTTCAACATTTACCCAGATCAGATATCACCTTGGCTTGTGGAATGGATGCCTAATAAGGGAGGTTTCCTTATTGGAAATTTGCAGCCTGCTCACATGGATTTCCGGTTCTTTTCTTTGGGGAATTTATGGGCCATTGTCAGCAATCTTGCGACAAGTGACCAATCACATGCCATCTTGGATCTTATTGAAGCCAAATGGGCAGATTTGGTGGGAGACATGCCATTCAAAATATGTTATCCTGCTCTTGAGGGTCAGGAGTGGCAGATCATCACAGGATGTGATCCTAAGAACACGTAATTTGAACTTTTGTTAATCTGACCTTATTGTTCTTAACTTCTTATGGGCTTTGACAAAACAAGCTGACATCAACGTTTGCTTTGTTTCTGATGCAGACCTTGGTCCTACCACAATGGAGGTTCTTGGCCAACTTTACTCTGGCAGGTACCAATTGCTAAATCCATCACTAACTCCTGCTGTCGGCATTGTTAATTCTGTCCATTACACCAAAAGCGAAATGATACAGTACCTGAGAATCTGAGATTGTTGTCAATTGACTGTTCAAATGGTGACTGGATGAAATTATCTCTGATATAATGTTTTATGCTGATCTCTTTTTGCAGCTGACTGTTGCGTGCATAAAAATGAATAGACTGGATATTGCTGCAAAAGCTGTTGAGGTAGCAGAGAAGCGCCTGTCACAGGATAAGTGGCCTGAATATTACGATACCAAAAGAGGGAGGTTCATTGGCAAACAGTCCCGGCTATTCCAGACCTGGACTATTGCAGGATATCTGGTATCAAAGTTCCTCCTTGCGAACCCCAGTGCAGCAAAGATGCTCATAACTGAAGAGGACTCTGAGCTTACAAATGCGTTTTCTTGTGCAATCAGCTCAAGCCCAAGGCGAAAGCGCGGGCCAAAACCTGCCCAGAAAAGCTACATAGTATGAGGTTTGGTGGTGGCTTATTATCAGTAAATAACGTCCGCATTCCTTAAAACTTGTACATATGGAATTTTACATGTATTGATTGCTGGACTGAAAACACGGCTTCATCCATGATTATTTAACAATGGATGGTCCAGCTGTATTATAGTTGTTTCAATTCTTTTCAGTCAAGGCTGACATTGGATTATGTATCGGCTGATATGATCAAAGTTAGTCAGAAAATATACTACATGGACAAGACTCTTCTTATGACATGGAGAAGGTGACATTAGTAGCTGTCTGTTGTTGTCAAGTTGTATATGTGCAAACTTGATGAATAAGTGATCGAGAAGATTATTGTGAAGAGACTTCGCCACTGTTTACATGAGAAATGGAAAACAGTAGCGAAGTCTTGTTACTGTAAACTTCTTTCCGGGTTTGAAAATTTCTTCTAATCTTTTTAAATACTAATGTTCCCTTGTTCCAGGGAAAAAGCTACTCTGTTATACTGTTTTAGTTGAACAAAGTAAATTCCATTTCTTTGGGGACAGAAGGCGTATTTCTGTCCTTGTGCTTTCTTTCTTTTTCGAAAGAAGTTGAAAGGGGAACGCAAGCAGAAAATGGACGCTTCTGTAAAGCGTGTTCCAAATGGCAGCAGTAGTAGAAGACTAGAAGTTGGTTTTTGCTACCGCTTGCGGACCAAAACCCGAAAGGAAAACTTCAAACTTCAAAGAAGAGGCAGATACAAGGTTTGTATTACTGTAAACAATGTAACTGCATCTAGAATCTATAGATAACACAAGCTTATGTTATCAGAATCTCAGATCCTTTAGTCTCCTCAAAAGTAGATTAATATGTTTGGCCAAAAGATTGGATCCCTAACTGCGCTAATCAGTCCAACCTTAGTGACAAAACAGGCAAAAACCAAATCCAGTAAGTTAAGAAATAGGATGATGAAAACTGAAAAGGAAGATTGAATCTTCTATTTGGTTAGAAGAATTAATAATGTCGTAGCTCATGAAATTGCTAATTCTGCAAAAAAAAAAAATTATAATAATAATAAAAAATAAAATTGTATTGGTTAGGAATATTAATAAAGGATTGAATTAAGATGAGACAAACACAAACAAGTTGAGTGAGACAGGGCAATCAAGTGGTTAAATGTAAAAATGATCTTAAAAATAAAATTACAATATTGTGTATTAGAAAAGCTGTGATTATGACAAGTAATCGCGGAAGCTGTCTCTACGTACCCAAAAAATAAAGTAACAAACACCAAGTGACAAAATCATCATATTGTTGATAAAATAAATATTAGGAGATTATTAAATTCCCCCAAAAGGGATGAACTGGAGTTATTTGTATGATTGCCTGCAGGCAAAATTAGCATACTTGATAATCGATTCCATAGGAGTATCATTGATATCCTGCTTCTAATTTCGCATGACAAACGACACAAAATAAAGCTAACCAGAAATACGTAACTTCTTTGTTACATCATTTGTAGTGTAATAATGACTACATACGTGATACGTGTCTTCCCATTTGTAACAAACAACCAAATTTTCACTAATTAAGTCCCACAACTAGCACTGCAAACCTACATACTCCCTCTGTTCCAAAATTATTGTTCAGTTTGATATTTCACTTTTACTACAATTTGAATTAGAAATAAAAACCCAAATTGGATAATAATTATGGAACAGAGGGAGTATTTCACATTGATAGAGTACTAATTTTACCAGTTCAAGCTTTTCAAACAAGAAATAAAGAGGAAAAACTTAGAAAAAAAAAATAAAATTCTCTATTACAAAAAAAAGGGAAAAAAATAAGTATTGGACCATGAATGAGACCCCAGACTTGTTCTAACAGCCGGCAAAATGAGCTAAAACGAAAACTTGCCGGCCCAAAATAATACACATTCTTTTGTCCCGTCCTTCATAAATACCCCTTCTTTTTTTTTGGTTAAACCTTCCAAATAATGCTTCCTCCTTTAATCAACACCTTCTTCCACTTAACCAAACTTTAATCAGAAATCCTTCCAATCCACACCTCCTCCATAGATATGACTGATTCCTCCCAAAGCATGCAGTCATCTCCGGCTGAAAATGCAGCCGGAAACGATCAAGACACGTGGAGTTTCGACTCAAGAACATCTACTTCCTCCACCACCAGCAACATGAACAACAACAACAACATGGTTAACAACTATCAAGCCAAGGACAGTAATGTACCATCCTTCAACAAACCTCATTCGACAGCGAATAGCAGTCCCGGGTGGGATGCAATACGCAGCGTACTGTCATATAGTGCCACGAATATGATCACTCTACAAGACTTGAGCTTCATCCAAAAACTTGGGAGCGGCGACATTGGGACGGTGTATCTTGTGGAACTTAAAGGGGCTAAAGGGATCACGTTTGCAGCTAAAGTGATGGACAAAGAAGAGCTAGCAATCAGGAGTAAAGAAGCCAGGGCAAGACTTGAAAGAGAAATCTTGGAAGTTTTGGATCATCCATTTTTGCCTACTCTTTACACTACCTTGGAATCTGATAGGTGGTCCTGTTTGTTAACTGAGTTTTGTCCCGGTGGTGATCTGCACATTCTACGGCAAAGGCAGCCGTACAGGAGATTCGATGAGGCTGCCGTCCGGTTAGTACCATTCCCTTTTGAATGATTCCAGGAATACTATTTAAGTGCAGACTTACATAATGTGACATGAATTGTTTGTTTCCCTTTTTCCAACTTATCCTAAGTTGGAGTGGGTTTGACCGTTTATTGTTAATGATTTGTTCATTTTCCTATTTTCTGTCTTCATCATAACATATCAGCAAACCTTTTCCACGTATACACTTTACTTTGCCTATCCCTAGATTTCTCCAAAATTTTGTTGTTGAATATTAAATAGAAAAACTTAAAACAGAACAACATCAAATTCTGAACTTGTACCTAATGTTTTCCGTGAATTAGGTTTTATACATCTGAGGTGGTGGCTGCACTAGAGTACCTACACATGAAAGGGATCATCTACCGTGATCTGAAGCCTGAAAACATTCTAGTACGATCAGACGGTCACATTATGCTGACGGATTTTGATCTCTCCCTAAGGTGTGACGAGTCTAAACCGAAGGCTCAGCTTCTTTCTAACGATTCCTTATCATCATTAACTACACATCAAGCATCAAGCTACAGCCCTGATGTGGCTTGCCCGGTATCTAAGTCACATTGCATGTTACCAAGTTGCATGGTGCCAGATGTCTCATGTTTCCGTACTACTAAGCAGAGGATGAGGAGGCCGGGTCATCATGAATGGAGGACCCTTGAAATAGTGGCGGAGCCAATAGAAGCTCGATCGCTCTCCTTTGTTGGGACCCACGAGTACTTAGCCCCGGAGGTGGTCTCCGGAGAGGGTCATGGTAGTGCAGTGGATTGGTGGACCTTAGGGATATTTATGTATGAGCTGTTCTATGGTTTGACACCATTTAGAGGACTTGATAATGAGTTCACACTATCTAATATCGTGGCTAGAGGCCTTGAATTTCCTAAGGAGCCAGCTGTGTCGAACTCTGCTAAAGATTTGATCACCAAACTTTTGATCAAGAATCCTGCAAAAAGATTGGGTTCAACAATTGGGGCTACAGCAATCAAGAACCATTCTTTCTTTGATGGGGTGAACTGGGCACTATTAAGATGCACATTGCCACCTCACATTCCCCAGCCTACCAGAGACTTGGGCTCTTCTCAACATCATTATGATGCTTCTGTAGAGTACTATTAGAACATCTAATGCCATAATGTAAACACTACGTTTATAAATACTCCACTTGTAAACATGCAGACTTTGTATGTAAGAAAAAGCACACACCAAAGTTGAAGGCTCTAGAAGTAGCTGTCTACAATTTAAATGATAACCTGCTTTAACAAAATTTACCTACTTTCAAATTAGGTACACCAATCGTTCAGCTCTGCGGAATATATACTTGACTAGACTTTCATGGGCACATACAAAGTCACTATTGGAATATAAAGACTGCAGAAGACAAAACACCACAACATTTGTTGACACGATAGAAACCAGGTCAAGGTGATCGATTAGTTATAATTACAAAGTCAGGTCAAGAAAGAAGATCAAAACATACAACAGCACATGTGCGTGCAGGTCCATGTACACTAATTATCCAAAAGTATATACATCTATGTAATGATTGCTTATTCGTATATCTAGACATCAAACTTTAGTTCCAGAACTATCGAAGGAGATTAAGGATCAGAAGATACGTGCAATGCTGGAGAAAATCTGACTCCATATGCCAAGATATCCTCTTCAATTCAATCGGGATTCATTCTGCCAAAAAACATGTTTGCTCAGGGGGAGGACTATCTTGAAAAAAGCTGCACATACTTGTGTAAAATTCATTGCAAAATATTACGAGATTTCCAAGGCCCTGACTACGTGGCATGTAAGCCTTGCATAAGAAAAAGTAGATTCCATTCATCATTCAGTTTTCTTTTATAATACATGTATCATATAAAGGGAAAAGTTCTTTCTCATATCAATTTATTTTTAAAAAGGTAAATTACCGAAAGATGGGAGTGAACTACCCCACTCAAGGTTATTCGTGAAAACCCCTTCAACTCCTCTGAACCACAGCTAGATTCCAGGTCAGAACTTCCTTTCAAGGGCTCAACACATAACTTCTGTTGCTTCTGAAATATAAAGTACTAAAAGTTCAAATTACAAAACCAAAAATTCATATTTCGTATCGCTGAAGGTTCCACCTTTGAAATAAAAAGAAGAAAGTAATACAAAATCATAGTACCTCTTTTTTTCGCATTTATCAAATTAGAACAGCTCCTCATTTCGGACTCTGCATTAAGCATTGGCTGTCATCTGACTTAAGAAACTTCTTTTCTTTCCAATTAATGAAGTTATTTCTGTGATATCAGCATCTGAGGCATAACTGAGACCTGATCTCTTTGCCGATTACCATTTACCTCATCAAATGAAAGAAGCTTGCACTTCGCCTCCTCCAATAATTTGACCAGTAGTTCACATTTTCCATCAGACTCCAACGCAAGTCGTTGAACCAGAAACAACGACGATCTTAACCTCCTACATCTTTCTGTCTGGGCATTGTTCACAATATCATCATAGTCGTCAGCTAAACTTTGATAACTGGATTGCAGATCCTTTCTCCATCTATCTAGAATATAACAAGAAGGTAACTGAATAACTTTCTTTTTAATATATACAGAAATTGCATGTTTACACAGAATCCCTTTTACTTCAAAGAGATGGCATAAGCACTGTAGTTTATATTCAACCTCATCAAAAAACACCTCCAAAGTTATTTCTTTCTGAAATATTCCATCTTTATCCAGGACTGTCTCTGTTACTTCAAACACAGATATGGACCCTTCAGCTTTCACAAAGGAAGCATTGCAAAAGACCAGTCCTCTTATTTCATCCTGGAATAGCTTGAAGATATCATTGGTGTATACTTCCTGAAATCGCTTCTCAATAGGATGATTAGTGATTGTTGGTACCACTGACGCGCACGAAGCAGTATTTGCATTGTTTTCTTTCTCAATCCTACTCTTCATAGCAGAGTCATACTGATCAACAAACTTTTTGATTGTCATTTTCGAATTGAAACAATCATCAAAAAAGGAATTCAAACGGTCACCTCTTTCAGTAAGAGACATCCCGGCCCAAAAACAATGTTTTACATACATTGGAACCCAGTGATGCCGGTCGTTATAAAGAGATTTCAACCATTCATGGTCTTCTAATTTGAATTCCTTAATCATACTTGCCCATCCTTCCTCAAACTCCCCGGACTTGAGTGAGTCATATACAACTGTCTTCAGTGTCTTTTTGATGACTTTGTACTGGTCCAGTCGTCCTAATTTCATTGGAAGTTTTGTCAAGATGTGCCCAAGGCACTGACGATATCTTGAATTTGGAAAAACCTCAGCAGCAGCAGCCCGAATAGCATCACAATAACCTGTAATTACAGAATTAGGAGGACGACCCAACATGCATGTTAACCATGACTTGAATAGCCATATAAAACTACATTTATTGGCAGTCCACACTAATGCACAACCAAGCAAAACTTCATGACCATGATGATTCCTTCCAATAAATGAACACAGAGGAGCATTATAGTTATTTAGCAATGAGGTTGTGTCAAAAAGGACAATATCCCCAAACTTCTCATAGGCATTCCTACACCAAGCATCAGCCCAGAAAACATTTCTTATGCGACCTTTCTTATCTGTATCAATCTGGTAGAAGAAGTTTAAATTCCTACTCTGCATACGGTATAAATACACCAATAAGGCTTCAAGATCTCCAGCATCAAGTTTCATCTGTCTTCCATTTGCACTGAAAGCTGTGCATTCTTTGGCGCAACATGTAAGATTCTCACTCACATCACCTTCAACAAGTATTCCATCACTGTCAACATCATTGGATTTAGATTTCATCCTAGGGTCAGAATTACCTACCTTATTACGTCTAACACGTAACCTTTTCTCAGGAACTAATTCATGATTATGCTCCAGATAAGCACGGGTTATGACTAGTGACTCATCATCCCTAATAGCAACATTTATCTTGGCCCGGCAATTGGTTTTCATTGATGTCCTTGAGTAGGTAGAGATGGAGTTTTTGGTGACCGTTTTTCCATTTCGAGCACACGCAAGTGTAAAATATTTCTTCTTCCCATCATCTCCATTTTTGGTGCTTATCCTCGCAATACTAAAGCCAAGAGACTGTCCATAACTATCATAAAACTGGAATACTTCTTCCTCTGATGAAAAGGTCATACCTACTATAGGTACTTTAGCAGCTTCGCCAGATGATGTAACTTCAGAGTCCTTTACCTCCATCCTCTTATCACAGCCATTCTCTCTTTGATCATGCTCTACCTGGGATGTGTCCACATCCATATCCTTTTTCCCCAAAACAGAACTATCAGTTTTAGCATTAGACGAACAAAATAAACAAAGAGTTGAATCAAAATTCTAATTTTATATTGGAAAGAACTATGATAGCTATCTTAGCTTTATGTAAAGCATACTCCCACATTCACAATGTCTAACCAAGCAAATATTTGCAATCAAATTACCCAATGATAACAACGCCATACACAAATAACATGGTATATCAAAACAAAGACAGATAAAGATCATAAAACAAACAGAACACAAATGGGAAAACCAACCCAGCAACAAAAAATATGAATTACGAGACCCCAATTGTCAAAAAAAAAAAAATGATAATAATAATAATAAGGCAGCATGCAGGGCTGAATGTAAAAGACAACCATTGGTACCATATGCAATTAAAGAAACCTAGACAATCATAACTCTCCACAAAGAGGAAAAAGAGAGCTTCTAAAACCACTCCATTCTTGATGAGATGCCATTAGTCGCTGACAGCAAATGGCTTAACCCAGATAAAAATCCACCATTGAGTACATAACAGTCAGAGCTTATAAGTACCAGCTAGAGAAATCATAGTGATCCAATGTAATGCTTCTAATAAGTTGATCATAACACTAAAATAATAGAAATACGGTTGATTTTACAAATTTTTAGAGAAGAAAAATAGCAAGAACAGCATTCCCGAAAACAAATGCACAAGCTGTAACCCGCAAACTTGTTATGCTACAGTTCTAAAATGAGTAAAGAGTACAAAACCCAGATAATCGCACGAGAGGAAAGAAGTTCTAACAGAACCCAGAATCAGAGTTTCAGCTACAAGATCGTAAAAGAATAACCTTTGCAGCAAACAAAGTACGAAATAGTAGTAAAACAGTAACAATGATGATGACGAACAACAATTATAGTACAATTCAATTTTAGGGCTTTGAAATTCGAAGCAATAGGAACCATTACCTTAGTAGACACAAATCAGCAGTAGAACTTCGTCTTCTTCAATCAACTTTCGAAATTTGTTTAATCTCCCTTTCGACTCTTCATCTCACTTTTCTTCTCTGCCATTTCCCTTTCCTCTTTTTAACAGCTCGAGATTTATGTTCACTAACTGGGCTGGTCTAGGCTGGCTTCGGCCTGGACCCTGGAGTAAACAACTTCATTTGGGCCATAATCACAAGTTTGTTGCCAAATGGCCCTTGAATAACCCAATTAAAAATTACTTTTCTTTGACCATTTTGTACGTGAGACTTTTCAAGAATGATGTTCCATTAAAGTGGTTAACTTACAGTTTTAAAAGGGCTCTTTTTTCTTCTTTTCTTTTTTCTTTTTTTTCCTTAAATAAACATTTTTAAGTTCCTAAAATTGATTGACAAGAATTATAGTAAAATTGATCGCCTAAATATTTTGTCTCATGTAGAATGATTGATGCCCCGGCCCCCGAGGCCTGCAAGATCTATCAGAATTATCATTAGTGTCAAACCGTGACTAAAATATGATGTTGTTGAAAGAATAAAAAAAATATGTTAAGTTTTGCCGCATTTATAAAGATACTGTATTTAAATAAGTATCATCAATGTCTATAATAAATCAATCTATTGGACCAAAACTGAACAAGTGTATACAACTTTTAATGTGCTACATGATTTCAGGAACATTTTTCTCATCAAAGAGGTGGGCAGTCAATCCATTCAGAACTTCATGCACACCATTTTGCTCAAGATCCATATTGTGACTCGCAGGAAATGAAACTATCTTGTTCTGCAACTCTGTCCAGCTGATTCCAGTGTCTTTCTTCAGTTCTTTCTCCTTCATGAGTTTCCTAATAGAAGCTAATTCATCCCACATCCTCAAGTCTGCATAAACATTTGATAACATGATATGGGCTGAAGTATCATCAGGATCAATACGCAAGATCTTTTCAGCTGCAACCCTTCCTAAATCTACATCTTCACTAGTCTTACAACCTGATAAAAGACAGCGCCAGACGACTCTGTCTGGCTCTCCAGGAAAACTTTGGAGAAATTCGAATGCTTCTTTTGCCCGGCCATTGCGTGCAAATAGAGTGACCATACATGCCAGGTGATCTGCACTTGGCGAAATGTTGTAATCCCTAATCATGGAGTTATAATGGCTTAGTCCATCCTGTATAAGACCTACATGCCCACAGGCGCTTAATACCCCGACAAAGGTGGCGCCATTGGGCTTAATCCCGTTCCTTTGCATGATGTTATAAACCTCCAAAGCTTCTCTTCCAAACCCATTTTGGGCATATGCAGTGAGCATCGTGTTCCAAGAGATCAAGTTCTTCAGAGGAAGGGTATCGAAAACTTTCCTAGCAACATCTAGATGTCCACATTTCGCATGCATATCTATTAAGGCACTCCCAACAACTATTGGAAGTAAATCCAGGTTTCAAGGCATGACAGTGAGTTTGCTTTCCCCACTTGACAGCTGGTAAATCTCCACAGATACTTAAAAGGCTGGAATAAGTATAAACATCGGGGTTTAACCCCTCGGCTAACAAGTCGCGCAGGAATCCGATAGCTTCCTCAAAGTGACCAGACTGTACAGAACCAGTAATCATGGTGTTCCAAGTAACAACATCGTGTTCCTCTATTTGTTGGAAAATTCTCAAAGATTCATCATGACATCCTCTTTTCATGTAAAATGCCAAAATTGTATTGCAGATCAAAGTGGATGAATCAAATCCCGATTTCAAGATAGTACAATAGAGTTGTTCCCCTACTTGAATGTCCATTTCATCAGCAATTGCTCCAAATACAGTGGCGTATGTCTCCTTACTTGGTTTCACACCCAAATAAAGCAGCTTATAAAAGAGTTCAAAAGCTTCCCTTTTCTTTCCCTGTTGCAGACAACCTCCCATCAAGGCGGTCCATGCTGATAAATGTGGCTCATCAGCTTCCAGAAAAGCCTGCCATGCAACATCCAGCAGCCCACACTTGGCATAAAGATTCACCAACCCGGTCACAACAAACTGATCCACAATAAGACCTGATTTAGCAGCAAGGCAGTGTACCCCCATTCCAAGTGCCAAACTCTCCAATCTAGCACAAGCTCCCAGAACACTGGCAAAAGTGAACTCATTAACCTTCAATCCTGTCCTCAAATACTTCAAGAACAAGCTCAATCCTTCTTCATCCTCCCCACATTGGAAGTAACAAGAAATAAGTGAAGCCAAAGACACCAAATCAGGCTCCAACATAGCCTCAAACACAATCCTAGCCGACCTCAACAGAGCACATTTGCCATAGAAACTAACCAAAGAGTTAATTACAAAGCTATTCAAACTCTCTTCAGCCCTATATATCCTTCCATGCAATTCCTTTCCGACTCTAACAGCTCCTATATCAGTGGAAGCAGATATAGCTCCGACATAGCTATAATTATTTGGAGAGAACCCCTCAAGAACCATCGCCCTAAAGCAATCTAAGGCCTTCCCTGAGTGACCCATATGGGATAACGAGGAAACTAGCGTGGTCCATGTAATACTATTTCGTTTGGGCATTGTATCAAATACCTTCAAAGCATCGTCCACCTGGTTCAACTTGAAGTACATTACCAGCAAGTGATTGCTGGTGAAAACATCTGGAAGGGATCCAGATATGATAACTCGAGCATGAACAGCTTTTCCATCGAGAATAGATTTCAGGTTGGTGCATTTTCGCAGTAGGGGAACAAACGAATTCATGATGGGCCTCTGATGGGCATCATTCTTTGTTTTCCCCCCGTCTGAGTGTAAGTGTGTGACCATACAGAGTAATTGTCCATTCCATTTCCACACACATTGATTATGAAGAACTGATACTGAGTCAATTTTACCTTAACTGAAGAAGGCCTAACCTATCCCTGGAATAGTTCTCTTTTCAATGTTGTTTTCTGGCATTCTTCTTGCTGAACCCAATATGTAGGTGTTCCATACTCCATAATCAGTGTTCTTTTCTGGCATTCCACATAAAGTAAGTAGGGCTTGATCGTTGCCCTAATCGAGCATAGTTTCAAAGTAACTTATTCAACATTACCTAGCAGCAAGAGAGCAACAAACACTTACCTTGTAATAAAGCTTACTTAAAATCAAGTTTCCTTTGCACAAAATTCAATTCTTACAAGATTTTACAGATTTTCATTTCCACTAAATCATAAATCCCCCAGCGGGTCAACATCCTGATGGGAACACATACAACACATACAGATTGTGAAAACTAACACATTTGTAGTTACAACATCAACATTATACGAAAAGATTAAAAGTTGCATGGACGACATCTTTATGAGACAGATGACGACATGAGTTCATGTAACACCTACTTACTAAACATCACACACAAGATTGTTCTGTATATTTATTAAGCTTCCACGAACAACCACTTCGCTAATTATAGTAAAATAGCACGGGACATCAACATCTTCCCAGTATATGTTGTGATCTATATCATGTAGTAGCAGCAGCCTCTGCAGCCTTTGATTCAGGTTCAGCAGCAGCTTCTGCTGTGGGCTTTGATTCAGGTACAGCTGCAGCTTCTACCGGCTTTGATTCAGGGGCAGCTGGAGCTTCTTCTTCCCAGAAAGAAGTCTTTTTTCCAGTCTTGGAGACAGTCTGAAGTACTGCTTCTGGCTGCACATTCCCCTTCACTGTCACTTTCTGTTGCTCAAGATTTATCTCGAATGAATCTACACCTGAATATGGTGAATTGAAAATAAGTGAACCAGTTAAAACATCAAAAACATAGCAACAAAAAAGACTGATAAATATTGCCAGGCCAAAAACTTTGAGCCTATGATGTAATAAAATACTTTTTCTATGGCCTATTGCTACTGAAAAATAGCTCATCTGATCCAATGTGAGAGAACCAGTTACAAAGAAAACACAGGCTTAAAAATCAGAGTAAAAATCACGGCTTCCTAATTTAATTAGCCATTTGATCATACTACTTGTTGAGCGAGCTTATTATACGAATCAAAATATCATTGTTCTTCACCAAATATAAAAGATCCCGACCTAAGATGTATCAGTTGGATAAACCTACATCTAAGCAGTGGCAACCCCAACAGGTCAATACAAAAGGTAGCACAATTCACAAAGGCAACTAAGACATATAATGCCATTAAAGCATAATTCACATAAGACGCCTTCAATAGGCCATAACATCTTCCAGTTTGAATAATAGGAAGCAAAAGATCTGCATTTCACTGAGAAAAAAAAAAGAAAAAAAGTTCACTAACCTTCCATTTTCCCCAACACCCTGTTCACAGCTCCGACACAGCCTTGGCATGACATGCCAACCTTAAGTACAACAGTCTGCAACCACAAAAAGAGAAAAGAAGAGGAACACTTAATGTTAGCTTCAATTCAATACAAAAATGCCGTATAATTCTCTCCCGAGTTCCTCAGAATATTTTTGTTCCCCCTCCAAAAAGACAAACTTATATTCGCATAATTTCCTCCAGCAATTACTCAGATTCACAAGAAAACCCCACGAAAGCATCAGACAAAGAATAGTTGGCCTATGGAACAGTTGAAACCCTTTCCCGAAGAGAATTTTGGACCTCGACGAATAGGAAAGGAAAGAATTCTAAAAGAACTTGGTTTCGGCAAATGCAATCAAAACTACCTAATCTGCATCCTCCGAAGTCCGACTAACAGATGCAATAAATAGCACGACATAAATACAATACCAATCAAGCTGCAAGACCTTGGTTCCATATCGAAACACTCAGCTACCAACCACGAATCAGACAATCAAAATCTAAACAAACAATCAGTACAATCAAGAATTTAAGCTAATAATAATTCAAAATTGATCTTGCCGCAAGAACGCACGCAGTTGCGCATCAAAATCAAAATCAAACTACGAAAATTGTAAGACTATAATTGCAACAAAGAATCACAGAGCCAGACGGTACCTGAGACATGATCGCAATGAAGAAAATTTCGTCACTGAATATCTTAAGATAGAGAGAGAGCCTTAGTTGTGGGTTGAAAGACTTTCAGACTGGTCTCGAATATTTATAGGCGATAAAAAAAAATATGAAAAAACATAAATGAAAAAAGAATCCGATTTTACTTTTTAAAAAATACCAAAAAAAGAAAGAAATTTAAAAAACAAGATAGATAAAAAGTAGTGGGCCGGATTGGGTAGCCGGTGAGAAAAGGTCTTCCTTCTAGTAATCAAGGGTAAATGGACTAGGCCCACTTTGACATTTCTACTTTTAATCGTTAATTCGTAATCCCATTCGTCTTCCCCAAGCTACATGGTAAAACTTTTATATTCAACATATATGTAATAAATCTAGTTGTTGATATTCAGCATGATCATATTCGAAACTTTAAAAAAAACGAAAAAAAAAAACCCAACCCAATAGACCGTAATTAAATATAGGTAAAACCTCCTTACAATCCCTGGTAGAAATCGAACCCTGCTCTGTCATCATGTTCGAAACTTCTTTTTAACTCATACATAAAATTTTTAGACTTCTCTACTGATGTTCAATGTGTTAGAACATCAAATTCTTTGCAGATCTTAATCAATGCCGTGTATTTGATGTGAAGTTAATTCTTCTTTTTTTTTCTTTTTTTTAATCCGGTGATTGTGAATTATATTTGTCAACGATTTTGTTATATGTATATAAAATGAAGATTCCAACCTTTCTGGCTGTACCATTGTCATTCTGACAATGCATTTCATAATTTAATTTCAAGAGTCAATTTATTGATTTATTTAAGAAACCATGATTGATGATTTTGGGTTAATATATATGAACCAGAAGTCTCTCTTTTTTGCGAACCCATATTGAAAAAGTGAAGAGTGATTCCTCATATCCTATCCCTACGAAAATAATACAACACCTTTTTGTTATCTTTGAATTTACTTTTTCAGCTATATGTATGGGATTCGGTTTTGATCTCATAAATTATGTCGAAACACATAGGTCATAAAGCTGAAAACTTTAAACTATGCAATCTGTCAATTACTCGATTCCAGGCCTTATTTATGCGAGAGGTTTTAGATAGAACTCGTGCATTTACACGTCTTTTATGTCCCCTGTCGTGATTTAAAGATGTGGCTATTAAGTTTTTTTTTTTTTTTTTTCTAAAAAAATGTGGCTATTAAGTTGAGCCGTGCAAATTTGAGTCCAGCAATTTTACAATTAGTGACCAGAAGTTCGATTCTTACTATTAACAAGATTTTTTTATGTATATATATATATATGCAAGTAACATTTCATTGGGTTTTTATTTTTTTTTATACATACTGCGCACGGTATTCTAAATATTAAGTGCATTACATTCAGACTAATCCGCACTAAGTCGGGTTGGTCTTCTTTCGGAAGGCAAGCTCTCCCAATATTATTCTTTTAATTCACGAGACTCGAATATGAGATCTCGATTAAGAAAACTAAAACACCTGACTATTTTGACCAAGCAAGTGTTAGTACATTTCATTGGGTCTAACATTAGCAAGTAAATTCTTTAGCCATGATTAGTTTTACCGATCCCTATATTGTCATCCATCATCATATTTTGGGCCTCCATATGATGCCAATGAGAAAAGAGTATGTTTATTATACTATTACTGTTCATATCGCATACAAATCGTCTACATTAAACTTTAAGATTTATATAATTCACATTGAATATTGAAATTTATATCAAAATTCAATGTAAATTATTTCTTTTAGTCAAATAAAACTCTTAACGTAACTCATAATGCATGAAGAGTATTATGATCTGAAAAGAATATGGTTACGCATGACCTGTGTGGTGGGATAGTGGACCGGTAAAGTGGGTACAACAAATCAAAATTCGAAAGACACATTTGTTGGTGAGAGTAGTAAACCTAAAGGATCATTTTCACCAAAATGTTCTCTTTGGGAGTACAAATATAACGAATGCCCCCAGTGTGTGTAGTACAAGGTTGCCTTTATGCTCCATCTTGGGTAGTACATTTTAATACTCAGTAGTATTGTATAGCAGTACAGAAGCAAAATTTCCCCTTGTGTTTCGGGCTTGCAATCTTTTGAGACAAACCTGTTATTGGGCTGAATGGATTTGGGTTCTAGGTAAATTTATAGTTGTATCTTCGAAGCCCAGGGTACCAAGACACATAAGCGTTTTCTCCATGTAAGCAAATATGTAAGTTGTTGTATAATTTTGACAGTTTTTTTTTTTTTTTTTGGAAATACATAATTTTGACAGTTATCTTTGTCCTTGTGGTACATAACCGTTAGTTATTAAAGTGTTGATTGAGTTTTAAGAACTCAGACACAACTCTATTATAAAAAAAATATGTCAATATTAAGGTCACTTAAAGGAATGTGATTCTAGTACTGTATTTTTATCCCCATATTTTAAAGGCGGGGTGAGCCTTTATGGATGATTTTTTTTTTCATTAAAATGGCTTTGGCTTGTACCAAAAATAAAATAGTACCTCTCTGTTAAACAATAGTTTACATATAATAATTTTAAAACACGATGTAGAAATGGACTTGGGGATAAAATGGTCAATGGAGATGGAGGTGAAATGGTGTGGGTTAGACTCATTGAAGGGTAAGGAAGTAGTGGTTTAACCTGATCACAATTTTAAGAAGAAAATTACTCATATGTTGTTCATGTAAAAACAGGATATCATTTTGTTATCATTATATTGATTTTACAGAGAAATTTGATCATGGAGATGATTTAATCATTGACAGAGGTCTAGATGATGTTAGTGCAACCATGGATCATGAAACTGTTTTGGGATCGATAATTTTAAGTAATTTTTGAAATATCATGAGTGAAAAGTGTTAGGGACTATTATAGAGAGACTGCCAATATATCCAAAAGTAACAAAATAAGGATAGGTTCAGAAAAATGTATCATTGTCTCTTATATTAGTTTCAAAGGGAAAAAGATTACGAAATTTTCTCATTAGTTTCATTTACTCACGTGGTTGGAAGTTGGAAGTAGACTCAGTTCAAGAGTTTTCACTAACATGAGTGTATCCTAGTTTTGGATATTAGGCATTTGGCATTTTCATTGTTAAAAAAAAAAAAAGAAAGAAAGAAAAGGAACAGATGTAGTAAAAAGTATGAAAAATCCAATTACACACAAACTTCAACTGCAGAAGACTAAAAAATTGGCTAAAACGTTTGTATAACATCCGTTGCAAAAACTGTAGTGATAGCATGCAAAATTGCAAATTCATACCCTTGACCCACCACCACCTTGGGCCTGAGGCGTCTCACCTTCTTCTAGTAAAGTCTTAAAAGAATTTCTAAATTGAGGTCATACCCTATGTCACCGTTACTCAACACATGACTCTATTTGGCACAAAACAAGTCAACTTTAGTTTGGGTTACTGACCTTTTCCAAGTCATTTGCCACAAATAATCCCAGATTCCATGAAATCACCCAAACACATTTTCCAACCTTATCTCAGACCAGTCAACTTCAACAAATTATGCTGCTCTTGTTTATCTCCATAATTCACATTACCTCCTCACCAAACCTATAAATTTCCCATTCATTTCACAGTTTTCTTCAAACCAAACCACATCCATACAAATTTCAAATTACTCTTTACCCACACGCAATTCCTAATTAATATTCAACTTCATAAACTTCAATCATGGAACAAACATCTCTGTTCTACTCCATTCTTTTCGCTGTCTTAACAATTTTGGCTTACCTGAAGTTCTTCAAATGGCGTACTGCCAAGAACCTGCCACCGAGTCCAGCTCCGGCCATCCCAATCATAGGCCATCTTCACCTCATCAAACAGCCTCTCCATCGCACTCTTCACAAATTCTCCCAAATATGTGGCCCTGTTTTCTCCCTCCGATTCGGGTCTCGCCTCGTCGTCGTAGTCTCTTCCCCTGTTTTAGCAGAGGAATGCTTCACTAAGAACGACGTTGTCTTAGCCAACCGCCCCAAGAACACCCTGGGGAAGTACATCGGGTACAACTATTCCAGCATGGTTGCTGCTCCCTACGGTGATCACTGGCGAAACCTCCGAAAACTCGGTGCCAATGAGATCTTCTCCCCTCATCGTCTCAACATGTTTTTGTCCATCAGGGCTGACGAAATCAGGCGTTTGCTGAGCAGTTTATATGCGAAATCGGTTAACGGTTTCGCCAGAGTGGAAATGCAATCAAAGCTGGCGGAGCTGAGCTTCAATGTGATCATGAGGATGATGACTGGGAAGAGGTATTTCGGGTTAGAGGAAGATAATGTGGAGGCAGAGAGATTCCGGGGACTTATCCGAGAGGTTTTTAAGTACGGCGGTGTTTCCAATCCTGCTGAATTTATTCCCCTGTTGAAGTTGATAGACTACAAGAATTTTGAAAAGGCCGTCAAGAATTTAAGTAAAGAGATGGATTTATTCTTGCAAGGATTAATCGACGAACATCGGGTTGACCGCAACAGCAATAGTACTATGATTGATCATCTGTTGACATTGCAAGAATCCCACCCGGATTACTACACTGATGAACTGATCAAATCAACTATAATGGTGAGATTGATCAACAATTTGATGATAGTTGGTTTACTTCTAAAGGTTTTTTTTTTTTTTTTTTTAATTTTGTCTTTCTTCAAATGCAGGTTCTGTTGTTAGCTGGAACAGATACATCTTCTGTGACAGTGGAATGGGCATTATCCGCTTTGCTCAACAATCCTGAAGTTTTGAAAAAGGCCAGAGCTGAAATCGACTATGTCGTGGGCAAAAACCGGGTGCTTGAAGAATCAGATTTGTCGAAACTGCCTTATTTGCACAATGTTATCCAGGAGACGTTCCGTTTGTTCCCACCAGCGCCACTGTTAGTACCACATGAGTCCTCTGATGCCTGTACAATCGGTGGATTCAACGTCCCAAGCGGTACAATGTTACTAGTGAATGCCTGGGAAATTCACAGGGATCCTAAGGTTTGGGATGATGCCACGAGCTTCAAGCCTGAGAGGTTCGAAGGCGTAAAAGTGGAACCGAGTAAGCTAATGCCGTTTGGGATAGGAAGAAGATCGTGTCCTGGTGCTGGCCTGGCGCAACGCGTGGTTGGCGTGGCCTTGGGTTCGTTGATTCAGTGTTTTGAGTGGGAAAGGGTTGGTCCTGAGGAGGTTGATCTGACTGAAGGGGTGGGCCTCACCATGCCTAAAGCTGTGCCATTGGAAGCCAGATGCAAAGCCCACGATTTCGTGCACAATGTCCTGCCAAATGGAGCCTAATGAAAAAATGTTCGTCGTACAGTTTGGCCTGCTTTTTGCAGGATTTTACTTAGTTATTGTTGGTTTTCTTGCATGGTTTTGAAGTTATTATGGTTGTTGTCACAATTTGAAGTTTTGCACTTTTTTAAGTTTATGTGATTTTGTGAGAATAAAATCTCAGAGGTCTTGTAAGGCTGGTAGAGTGAGATCAACCTGAGTCTGTATTATGACTCATTTGTTCTTGCTCTCTTGAAATGAACTTTTCTTCTTTCGTCTGCTAAATTTCATAGCGCTTGAGTTGATTTCTGTAGGCAACATAATACTCCCTCCGTCCCATAATTATTGTCCAGTTTGAGTTTTTATTTTTAGTTCAAATTGTACTAAAAGTGAAATCTCAAACTGGACAATAATTTTGGGACAGAGGGAGTAGTTTTTTTTCGAGTACAAAGAAAGAAGCATTAACCGGAATAAGGAATCAAATGACTCCACATAAAGGGAATATGAGATCCCGAGTAACCACGGTCTAACTTCTGGCGTCAGCTTCACCAAGTACTATACTAACTTTTTTTTTCCCTCAGTGGTACAAATTCTGTGAAGAAAGAAGCCAACTTTTGATCCTATTTCTGATGAAGGATGTTATGAGGCTTATCACTACTGCAAATTAAAAATTGCTTTACCAAATTTTCTGCAGTTTGTCACAACTCACAAGTTACCTGTTTTTTTTTGGGTGGACTATACATGCAAAAAACACAGTATGGGTGCTGATAGTAAACTAGAATTCACAAAATGCACATCTGGTTGCAAGCATTTCTTTTACCTTGCTATATGTGAAGAAAATGCACTATAGCCTAAAGTAACGCATGGAACATCACCCAATTGGGCAAAAACATGAAAAAAGAAGCCTGATTTTCTGAAAGAACTTCACATGAAGCATGATTGAAGACGATCAGACTTGTATATATATAGGGATTGATGGTGCATTCCCATTCATCTCACAGTTTTACCAGTCTCAATTTGACGAAAATGGCTCCCAGCAACCTGATGAACATGACCAACTTGGTGGTATTCGTCGCTATTTCCGTCTTCATCCTCTGGCTTTCTTCCAAAATGGTGGCAGCTCAACCAGGTCCTATACCGTTTCCGCCATTAAAACCGCTTCCCCCGAAACCTCAACCAACTCCTATAGTCTTTCCGCCTTTGAAACCGAAGCCCCCAAAGCCTCGAGTTGTTAAATGTAGATTGATAGAGTTTCCTAAATGCTTCAATATTCCATTTCTCTGCCCCTTGGAATGCCTCACAAACTGTTTTGTAGACTGTGGCACCTGCAAGCCAGTTTGCAGTAAGTTATCTTGCAACATTGCTTTCTATTTCTGTATTTTATTGAACTTCAGTCTTAATTTGAAGTTTTACTAACATCTTTATTAAAAAACAAAAAATTCCAGGCTGCAATTTTCCAGGTGCTGTTTGCCAGGATCCTCGGTTTGTCGGTGGTGATGGCAACACTTTCTACTTCCATGGTCGCAAAGATGAAGACTTTTGCCTTATCACAGACACCAATCTTCATGTCAATGGCCATTTCATAGGCAAGAGGAATCCATCTTTGCGCAGGGATTTCACTTGGGTTCAGGCCATTGGAGTAATGTTTGACAATCACAGGATTCTTGTTGCAGCAAAACGAACATCAATCTGGGATGATTCAGTTGACCGTTTGGCTATATCCTTTGATGGGAATCCCATTATTCTTCCAACCAATGAAGGTTCCAAATGGGGGTTTTCGGATGTTTCCAACGTTATCATCACCCGAACTACTAATACAAATGGAGTTAGAGTTGAAGTCCTAAACAATTTCAGAATCACTGCAGCTGTTGTCCCAATAACTGCTGAAGAATCCAGAGTTCATGGCTACAACATTACTGATGAGGATTGCTTTGCTCATTTGGAACTTGGATTTAAGTTCTTCAACATTAGTGATGGAGTTCATGGAGTCCTTGGACAGACTTATAGGAGCAATTATGTCAGTAAGATGAAACTAAATGCTGTAATGCCGGTCATGGGTGGCGCGCACAAATATTTTTCAACCGGGCTCTTTAGCACTGATTGTGCCGTGTCTCGTTTTGGTGGAAATGTTGCCCGAAAAGCCGGTGGTGGTTCGGCTGCTCTGCTTCATCATCCTGCAGAATTCCACTGCCACAGTGGAATGCGAGGAAATGGATTGGTTTGCAAATGATGCAATGAACTTGTTTTGAAGTGCTTTTGAATAAAACTAAACTTGATTTGTATCCAACTTCATTTCTGTCGTTTGTAAGAGGAATGCAGTCATGGTTAATAATCTTATATTACTCTTTCGCATTTTTCTTTTGTTTCTGAATCATTACCTTTGATGTAATGAATGAAAGGATTTGATGTAAATTGAAGAAAAAGATTATAGTACATAGATTTCCTTTTATTATATTGAGTTGAGCTTCATGTTTGGAGCATTGACAACTTGAGCAGTCAGTAACATTAACATATGGGTCATTTCACTTGAGGAGGTCTCGAATTGAAGGTTCCAGCGCAAAATAAACTGCTTCCCAGCCCTGTTGCGTAGGATGAATGTAATCCCAGAAAAAAGATAGTGTGGGATCTTCACATACATTGTACTTCTTCCTTCCAAGGTTGTTGACACTCCCACAGTAATACCCTTCACCCGAACCAACGCAACATGGCGTTAGCTGGTATGGAAATGTTGAATTTCCTGCTAAATGAAAACAGAAATAAAAATGTCAATCGTGCTAACAAATGAGATCCTCTGTTACACTTATCGTGTGACTAACTGTAAAGCCGTTACGCTAGTAAGACACTGTTGATACAAAATAAATGTGAATAGGAAGATCTGATCTTGTGTCAGAATATCAAATGCCTAAGAGATGATCTAGACCAATTCAATTTCTTCAAAGAGGGAATCGAGGAGTACTGTTACCTGCTTGGTTATCAACGATTTCTAACGCCGACATGAAAGAACTATAGAGGTCGAGGATCATGAAAGCGGATCCACCGGTTTCATTGTTGAGTTTCTGAACACTTTCTTGTAACATCTGGTTATGGTATATGGCTAGGGAATTTCCAGCCTCACTGCAATTTGTATGTGAATTTAAGGCAGTCATTTGTGGCAAGCATCCTAAGGGCTGCATTCCTGTAATCAACACCTTCTGCACTCCCAATCCGTGTATCCGTCGAAGGTTCAACTCAAGCTGACTTAAGATTGTCTTTGTAAACGCTGGTACTTCCTGTTTCATAAGGTCAAAAATAGTTTCTGTGAACAAAATTTTTTTTCTTCAGCCATTTTCGCCCCTTCAAATTATAGAAGTACTAATTTACTATATTATGCAGGGAAACTAAAAGGAAACAGGTGGTGGAAGGTCCAAGCGGCCCACTTCTTTCTACCTCTTTTAAGAAGAGATCATCTGTCTCACTTTTTGTGTACCAACTGTGTTTTATTATAAAGTAATGTTATTTCATCTATAAATGTTACTCATACAACTCAACTTAGAATGTAAAAACCTTATTCCTATCAATATCACTCCCATACTATATTTCTTATTCTCCCGGAAAGTTTAGTGTTAACAATATAATCGGCCGGGAGGATATTGGTAGTTTTTCGAGATCTCTGGGTTGAGTTTGCAACTTTTGTAAATCTTGAGGGAGGTGGATGTAATATTCCCCACAAAATGAAATGCCTTTTTAATGTCACTCGTACAACATCAATCGAAATTTTTTAAAAAATGCAATGTAAGTTTTCTCTTTTACTATCATAATTTATTTAATGCTTTATATTAAAAAAAAAGAAGAAGAATCTTTGAAAGGAAGAATTTGAAGCAAAAATTTTATTCTCAATTTTTCATAAAGTAAAGTAAAAAAACACTTTTTACTGGTTTGAAGTTAAACGGGTGGGAAATCATGCATTAGCCCTTGTTCCATCCAAAGTATACAACACGTAAGTACGTACATAAATTTAGATCAACCACCAAAAAAAAAAAAAAAGAAAAGAAAAAGCTCACAGTTGGGGCAAGTTTGACCTGGAGATTGAATCAATCAATTAAACTTTTTTCGGTGTTTAACTTTAAAAATCAATCAAATTAAAATTACCTGGAGGGAGCCATTTTTGGCAAGAAAAGTGGCATAATCATTGCCAGCCACAGAGACTAATGCAACCCAATAATCCTGCATCAGTGTGCCATACACTTCATCTTCTTGAACCAGTTGTTGGAACATGTTGATCTGGGTGGTCATGTTTGGTTGGTTGACCAAAGTGTTAAAAACGCCGGTTCCTCCATGAGCAAAGTTCATCCCGTTGATTTGTAGGTCTGATTTCTGATCACCTAACGTTTTCCACTTGTTGTAAGGTACTGGAGAATCTATACCTATTCCAGAAGCTGCCACCATGATGAACCATTGCAACCAAAATGGTTAAAAATTAATGTTATCCAATTTGTTAGAATTAACAAGTTCGTGAACTTCGATACATAATTAATAACAATTTAATCATTCGAAAAGTTAGATAATAACAATGCAAGTATACAGAGGATCAATAATCAACACGAATGATATTAATTTTGGTTCATATTTCCTCGTCACACTATGTAATACTAGTGATTTTCTGCCCACACTATGTGTGGGCTTTTCTCACACTATCAACAATGCACATATTATATCTTTGTCTATTTTGATAATTTAATTTTAAAAAAATTAATAAGGCACAATGGTCGTTCATAAAATGATTGAATTTGAAGTATCAATCAAAAAATACTTGTGGCAATAGAATTGAAGGTATATGTGTAAAATGGTAAGTTAAAATAAATAAATTTGAAATTAATTACTTCTTACGGACCGAAATGATTGTTCATCATATTAAAAGTAAAAATTTAAATAAAAAAATTATTTTAAGAAAAAAAAAGAGTATTACTTACAGTAGGTGCTTGGAATATTTATTCGGGAGTTCATAGAGGTTTATATCTCATATTTATAAGTGAAATCTAACGGATATAAATAATTTTTATATCAGAATTTGATGAATTAAATAGCATATATAACCATGATCAAGTATTGATATGTGTAATCTTTTTCCTTTTAATAGCTTAATAAATAATTCATAATAAAAATAGATGAACGTAGTAAATGAGGACACATTTCCTATAAAAATGTAATAAAGAAACAATAACTGAATGTTCTTATCACGGTTATTATTACTATTGTTATTTATTTACTACTGTAGAATGCCCCCTCTCGCTTTGCTTTTATAATAGTAGTAGATTTGACACATGTCATCCCCGAATAAATGACTCACCCGTGTGTTGACATTAGTCATATATTCAAATACATATTCATCATCTTCCAACATTGTTACAAATAAGATAGTAAGTTAATTATTATTCTTTCCGTCCAGAAAAATAATTCATCGAGTTTATAAATTTGTACTATTTGGACGGAATAATAAAAAAGCACAGTTCAAAAATATAATTAGTTTTTCCAAGTGGAAAAATATACCCTTTCTTTTTTTACCAACAAATGTAAAATTCATTTTCAAAAAAAAAAAAAGTAAAAGAACCATTTGAAGATAGAGCCGTAAAGATGTAAAAATCTCGTGTATTTGTTTTTGTAACGGCAGAAACCTGACCAGAGATGGACAAAATCTGGTGTATTTGAATTACAGCTTGATTCAGTTTGATTCGAAGCGGAACATAACAATTTCGGAATAAAGAAATTAATACAATCATTTGAGAGGAAGGGAGCCGAGTAGAAATGCATGGCGCCGGGATAATTAATGTCGTGGAATGCGTATAGAAGCAAGCAATTACGATGATGAGGATTGAGGACAACAAACCTAAGTAATCGGTGAGGATGAGACCATCGGAAAACCTGCCGGTGGGCTTGCCGGGATAAGTGATTCCATAAGGCTTCTTCCAAGAGATGGCGGTGGATGGCCAATTACCCGTATCCGCATAAGAATCTCCGAATACAAACAGCTTGGTCGACGAGTTATCTGTTCCATTCTGTTGCCCCTGCTCCAGCTGCTGCGGCTGCGGATGATTATGATTATGATGATGATGGTGGTGCTCTGCTTTCACACCATCAAATTGACCTGTAAACACACAACAATTCCTTTTCTCAGCACCCGCAGCGCAAAAATCGTACTCACTCCGTCCCAAAATTGTAAAAGATTCAAACTGAACATTCATTTTTTATGGAGAGGAAAGAGGGTATGTAGTTAAAAACGAAAAACCCGCCTTCAAAATTCGATCGCTACACAAATCAAAATTATAACCTGTAGCAATAACACTCCTCGTGCAAGAAGAATAGAAGAGAAATGCCAATGTGAAGTATGCAAATTGATGCATATTTCCCCCCTATATCTCTGTCTCTCGGAAATTCGGAGGTGTTCCTAATAAACTTGGAGGAAAACTCCAGTAATTAAAAGGAAAAAGAAAGAAGTAATATTTAGTACAGGTTTTAGATGAGGAAATCCACGAGATGGTTACGACAAATATATACTGTTGTTTAGTGCGTGGTGAGAAAACAGTGATCAACTCGTGATGTAAGCAACATATACATTCGGAATTTGACAAATATATTTTTAGGTAGGACTAATTGCCAGTCTTTCACCATCACAACAGTTATTTGGTCTTCGTACCTTCCGGGAACACAGAAACCCCCGCAGTCTCGGGCAACCATTGTATTTTCTCAGCAGAAGGCGTGAATTTCTTTTGTTGGACATCTTTAAGGCTTACATTTACATTGTTTTATGAACCATATAAGAGGAGTTGCAAATTTGCAATCTACATGTTCAGGAAGTAAAACATTATACTCCCTCCGTCCCAAAATTATTATCCACTTTGAGATTTCATTTTTAGTACAATTTGAACTAGAAATGAAAACTCAAATTGGACAATAATTATGGGACGCAGGGAGTATATAGTATACAATAACTGTACCACATAAGATTGTACAGTAAAATGAGTAAATGAATGTCGAGCATCAGTTAATCTCAGGTAGCTGCTCTAGGTTGTCCTCTAGAATATCTTGGAGGTCTAGTCTTTGCAACATCAACTGTTATCATCCACCCATTTATAATCTGCAAACAGTGCCAGACACACAGTTTTTCTCAGGAAACCAAATTTTCAAAATTTCTAATTTATGTACAACAATTCAGTTGAGAAACTACCTTTCCATTCATCTCTCTAAGGGCAGTTCCTGCAGCCTCCTCAGTGGTGTACTCTACGAATGCATAGCCTTTGGATCTCTTAGAAATCTTGTCCATTATAACTTTCACTACAAGCGAAAAGCAAAACCAAACAGACTAATCAATCTTTCCAAACAGTATGTTATTACTGCAGGTACATGATTCAGATTTTTGCGGTACGTAAAACCATAATTACCTTCAACAAGTTCACCAAAACCTTCAAAAGCTGCTCGTAAAGTCTTCTCCGAAGTATAAAATGATAGACCTGTTACAGTGAATAGTTAATTAAGCAGACTGAAGGAAGTCAATGAAATGCCAATGCAAGAAAATAATATGGCGAATAGTACTCATATGTCCACTTTTATACCTGGCGAGTACCATTAAGTCTCAAAGATTGAACCGAGAGACGTCTATTAGTGGGATCATTGAGATGAAGGTCTAAATGGACCAATTACAGTGAAATGAACTTTTGTGCATCAAAAGGTTCCTATGCTTTTATGACTCAAAGCCTTGACCACTAGCCAAAATAAAAGTGAAATGAGGTTCAAAACTGACATAGTAGAATTCAGAACATACCAGTAACGAATAACTTCTTCGTCTGGACGTTAGGCACTTGATTTGGTGATGCAGAATCTTGAAGATTACTACTGTTTAAATTTTCACCTGAACATATGGAAAATCACGTTTATAATTTGAAAATGGAAACTGATACAATAGATGACGAGAGGAGATCTCTATATACAGATACAAATGGAAATAAATTCTCATGAGAGAACCAATAGGTGACCTGAAAATTTAAATCTTCAGTTCCATATCACCACAGAAGTATACTGGTAGGAAGATTTCAGACAATTTAATACAGATATTTCTGCAAAGACTTGTTATATAACAGGTTCAATTCCTTAAATAATATGCCAGCAGAACAACAAACCTCTGTAATCTTTGTCATCAGACTCAAAATTTGCATCTGGATGAACCGAAAGAACACCAGGCACGCCTGAATCACATGAAAAGGTATCAGGGAAAGAACAAACATTTAGTACATCACATCACATCGCAATGGTAATGAGATAGTCTAACCAGCTAACTCTTGTGCGCATGCGTCATCAAGTTCACAACAGAATCCATAATTGAAGAGCGTTGACACGTGATATATGCACATTTGAGCATCACTCTCACTGTTAAGTATCAAAATTCAACATTAGATATACCATGACCCTATGCACTCAATTAGAATAAAAATAAGACATGATTGCACAGAATTCAGAACATACTTCCCCAAAACTTTGGTAAGAAATCGGGTATAGTAATCGATGATCTGCACCTTGGTGATTAGCACAGTAGGTGGCTTCTCTACACGCACAATCCAGTGTTTAGACGTTCCAGGTGGAAATAAGAATGGACTATCATGGTATGAACTTGCTGAAGTATTGGACTGAGCCTCAGAGCGGCTATAATTTTTACTTTTAGAGCTTAAATCAAGGTCTGGCTTCACTGATATTACACCTGGTAAACCTATTATAATACAGAAATGGATGGCATCACCTCAACAGTAACAGAAAAAATAAAACAAAATAAAGTTTAATTTGCAAGCAGAAAACTTGAACATCCCGTGAGAAATCACTGATTAGTCCTAAAACCCGTACTGGCAAAGGTGTCACGCTATCAGTTACTTTCACATTGTATGACCAGGGAGACTGGAAAATGAGAAAACAAAGAGTTCAGAAGAACCTACGAGCTAGCTCATCAGCTGCCTCTTCATCAATGTCACAACAGAACCCGAAATTCGTAGAGCAGGAAGCATCATAAATACACATCTGAGCATCAGTTTCACTGCCCAGAAATGAAAATTTCAAATCAACTTCACAGGTCAAAGTCTTTAAGCTACTATATAATCTCATCTCAAAACAAAAAGGATTCAAGATAACAATGTAAGCACAAAAAAGAAGGATGTACTGAAAAGAGCCAATAAGAAATAAGAATTGCTTTCCGGGCATAGAAACACACCAACCTTCCAACAACCCTTTCAAGAGTCTTGACGTAGAAATCAATAATTTGAGGTTTGGAATTAAGCTGCTGTGGAGGGTCCTCCACGAGCACCATCCAATGGCGGTGGTGACCGGTCCTAGCGCTACCAGAAGTTAAAGGCAAGGATGCACTGGTCGTAGAAGTTAAATAGAGAGTTCCTGCTCTTGGTTTCGATGAAAAACTAAAACCAGCATAAGCAGAGGAAGAAGAAGAAGAAGAAAGCGCGAAAAAGATGGTATCTTTGAAAGATGTTATCAGCCGTAAGGGGATGGAAGAAGGGGCAATTTGAGAGGGATTTCTGAAAATTTTATTCAAAAATGCAGTTGGGATTGGAGGGATGGAAGGAGTGGAATTAAGAATGGCTTCCATGGTTTTAGGCCACCATTAAAAACAGCAGTTAGCTCAGCTCTAACCTGCACGCTCTCCGATAAACAGAAATGGCAGAAATTATGATAGAAGAATACTTTTGTTCCAAAAATGAACAACGTAGGGGCCAAAATCAGTCCGAAGTTGTTGAAGCCCATGGCTCCAAATCGAAGAATTGGGCTGGGTTTATTTATTTGCGCACCTGAATTATTGGTAGTATGTAGGCCCGCATTTCGAAAAAATTTCTGGGCAGAACTAGGAATTGGATTGCAGATGTATGACGTTATGAACTGTATAGGCCCACCCTATTTGAAATCACGTCTTTAAACATGGAATTAGGAATTGGATTGAGGATGTGCCATTTAGTTGATCATCTATAATCCTCTATGGCGTTACTCTTCTAATAAATGTAAAATTCTTTGTTACATAATTCTATTTCTTCCGAATCTGAAAAAACAGGCCTATCTCTCTCGCCTCAGCTACACTGTTTGATTTTACAATTTGTTCTGAAAGTGCAATTAAAACAACTGAGGAAGCAATGCTTGACATGAGAAAAGGAAAATGCTCAAAAGTCCAAACTGTACAATTCATAAACATAACATTCTCGAGAAACAAACTAATATTAGGTCTTCTTTTTTCTTTTTTCTCTTTAACTTAGAATTCTAATTCAACGCAACGCTTAATTTAGGAAATAGTAATACACAACTTTTTTCTAAATTTTCAAGCTGAATTTAATTAAAATGGGTTCATCCCACCAACCAGACCGCCTAAATGGTCCTAATCTCCGCCGACCCTTTTTTGGGCCGCTAGATCAAAGCAAATGGCTGTTGGGCCAGCGAGAAAAGACAAATCCATCATAATCAACAATCACAATCAACGATCGACAGCAGGCAAATGCGGGGTGGGGGGGAGAAATCAACGGTTCAGATCTTATCGAGCTTCTCGGCCTTGATAACCGGGTTGGCTTTCGCGATGGCGTCTCTTCCCATCGACTTGTAGTCAAACGTGCACCCGTGCTGCTCGGGGTACCTGTGGGTCCCGCAGAACGTCACCCCGCACCTGCATTTGAACCCCGTGATCCCCACGCGCCGCCGGCACGTCGCGCACCTGTTCGGCGTCTGCACCACCGGAGAAGCCGCCGCGGCCGTCGTCACCGCAGCGATCTGATCCGCATCGTTCCTAACCACCACGGCCACATCTTCCACCACCACCGCCGCCGCTTCCTTCGATTCTACCCTGGCGTTGCGAAACACGATCTCCGCCGAAGACGACGACGACGGCGAAGCCTCGATGGAAGATTTGGCCTGACATAAGGTTTTCTCAACAGCCAATTGCGCATCCTTCATCTGTTGCTCCTTCAAGCAAAAATCCTTGTAGCATTTGGAACACAGGTTCAGAGTGGTCGGGCTGCCGAAGAATCCACAGTTATTAGCACACAACGTGTGGGACCCCTGCTCCTGCAATCTTTGTTCCTCGGCCATGGCTGCTGCTGATCCCCCTCTCTTTCTTCACGTTCTCAAACAGATCGGAGTGAAAAAAGGAACAAACGGAAATGTTTTTTACGTTTGGGAAAATTTGGAGAGCGATTGATCGATTTAACAATCAATCGCCCCAGCGAAATCTGACCACGATCTACAGCACCCCAATAGAGAGAAAAAGAGGCTATGATTGAGAGAAACTAGGGAAAGAAGAGAAAAGGATGGGGAAAAATATATGAAACGAAAGAAAAGCAAGGAGTTGGAGGAGGAAGAAATGGGGAAGGGTGGAGGGGGGAGGAATGGTATTTTATTTGGTGGTGAAGGATAAACTACCCATTTAAGGATGCCCAAAAATGAAGGGATCTCCTTCTTAGCTTCTTCTTAATATTTGTTTCTTTTTTCCTTTTAATTAACTTTGATTAAGGAAAAAAAATGTTCCAAACTTATCCATCAAATTTCAACTAAATGTATCACGTGTTTTTTAATACACCTTAGGTAATTAATTCATTTTTCATCTCATAAATTGTCTACTAAATATAGTTTTGCTAATTACTACCATCTATATTTAATGCTATGCAGGCACGTTTAACCTTTTAATTCACATCATATCTGAATAAATTCTCGTTAATCTGTTTGATAGATTTTTTTTGGAGACAATGGCATTATATCAGTTTATATTATACATTTATAAAGGATTATTTTTATGGAACGGAAGGAACATATTTTAATATATATTTTGTTTTAAAATGATTGTCTAATTTAATTTTTTACGATTAACAGAATTTGAATTAAAAATAAAAATTTAAACTGGATCAGAACACGGAATACATTAGTATTGGGAAGGAATAAGTAAGTCGTTGAAGCGACGGCAACGGCGGAAGGAAGGCGGAAGCTGCTTTCGGTTTTGGTAATGGTGTTATTTGATTAGCTTTGAGCCTACGTTTTAGACTTTTTAGTTGAGTTCAAATACTCCATTTGATTATTATTGTAGGATTGTTTAGTGGTGGTGACTTGGTAAGATTCTGTTGACCAATTATTGGTATTCCGGCGAAGGACCATTTGGCCTCGCTAATTGGGTAGCTTACACCAAAAAAAAAAAAAAAAACATAAAAATAATCAAAGCACTACTAACTAATCAGAGCACATTGCCATTATTTACTAATAGCAAAATAAAACAATGGTTTATTTCCTGCCATAAGAGCTGCAAGTGAAGTCCCGGCAATCATGTTAGTTCCTTACATCTCAGAAAAATAGTCGAAAAAGATGTTAAAAGAAGTTCATCTGGGTGGACCTATTTTGCTGAATTCTGAGAGACGGAACATTTCTTAATTGCCATGTTCTTACCGACTAAACTATCTAGTTTTGGTATCATACTCTATTTTGAACCACCTTTTTCCAAAACCACAATCCTGCGCTATATTTACATACACTGGAGTCTTTGATATTTTCTGAGGTTGGAATTTTCCTCCTTTACCATCACGCCCAATCTTCTTCTATTATGTACACATGCCACATTACCTCAATCATATCTGCAACTCCAGTCGGATAAACACGACCGTAATGTACACAGTTCTATGTCAAAAGAGGTGCTTCAACGTCTGAATCACCAACCTCCGTTGTCTTGGTTGATGGACTCGGCTTCAGCATCCAGGCAATCCCAAATGATATAGCCTATGGAAATTAGGGAGGATATTGCATATTTGAGGCTTTTAAGCATAATAATGTATTGAGCAATGGGAAGATGGAGGAAATGTGGAAGAAATAACACAGACAGAAGAGGCTTACCACGGAGAAGGATGCGCATACAAAGCTGAAACCTTTACACTTGAATGGTGCATCTTTTGATAGAAACAAATCTGTAGGAAGATCAAATCATATTTGTTTAGAAAGAATTCGAGCCGTAATGCTCTATGTTATTTAGAGAACATTAGCAAACTATTCAACTCACTTGTCAATGGAGTCATGGCCAAGGGTGATAACAAACTTGAAATTGATTGTATGCCCGCAATGAAACCTTGTGTCTTTCCCTGTTGTTAAAGCCAACTCATGGAACTACAATCAGGAAGCTACTGAAGTAGAAGTATAATGACGAAGAACATGCATTATCTATATGTAACATATGCAAGTTGGAGGACTAAGAATATGCATTATCTACAAAGCAGAGGAATCTGGACGTAGATGCATATGCATGGAGAATTTGGTAACGAACCTGATCAGTTGAACTTGATGCTTTCGATATGATAGCATAAGTCTGTCAGGGAAAAACACCAATATTAACATTGAGAAGCGGTTTCAGTGGATCAAATGGTAAGTACGAATAGCACAAACTTGGATGTTAGTAAGAAAAAAACTTACACAGGGTTTGACAAGAATATTGACTACTCCAAAAGCAGCACTCAAGTACGGGACCTGTTCTCCAAAACAGCCAGTGATGAATGAAGACATTGAATGTTAGCTGTATTCTCTTGAAAGTTGAAACAGCTTGGATGAAATGGGAACCTAACAGAAAGAAGATCTAGCCTACGAGTAGTGTTCTATTTATGGGTTCTAAGTTTTCATACCCACGGCGCCCACGCCAAACCATATAGCAGTGCCTGTAAATATCAGGGATTTGTTAGATCAAAATTTCAGAAAATAAGCTCTACAACAGAAAGTTTAGACGAAGCACAATGACGATATATGATCCAAATAGCTAATCTCACTAACTTAGTTGTCAATGTCAAAGCATGTAGGAAGTCGAATTTGACAAATCCAAAGGTCTTGGTCAGGTTACTTACATATATTGTAGATGAAAGTAGAGCTGCACAAAGTACAACTTTCTCTCCAACAAATCGACTGATTATAGGAAGCACCAGCAACTTCACATTAAAGAAAAAGGATTTAGTCCAAAATAACCAAAAAAGATACACAAAAGGATGTGAGAACTCATAGTGCACATAAAAGAGGTAGGCTTCAAATGTACCTGCGAAAAAATTGAACCAATTCCTACAACGATGAGAATTTCTGAAAATTGATTTTTGTTAAAGCCAAAGACTGCCTTCAGATAGTACTGCAAAAGTAGCCAAGACATAAAAAGGTTTGTGGGAGTAATCAAATAAATGAACTAACACACAATGAGATAAATTTGCTGATACTGTAACAGAAGTACCAATGAACTCATCTTTCAGGACAGGTGCTTACAAGTAATGTGGTATCAATGCTAGACATCCCCAACTCATAGAAGAATAAAACAAGAGTAATGCACTTCAGTGTCGGGCTGAGAAGAAAATGAATTGCATCCATCAAACATATTATGGGAAAACAACGGATCAATTCATGCAGCGATTTGGATATCATGTTGAAGTGTACACTTTTACAGCAATGTTATGTTACCTGTCCATTACAACAGTTGCAGCCTTCTTCATTGAGTCGTAACGCTGCTGAACAATCTTAAGCACTTTCCTCAAAAGTGGCAAACGTTGGTTTGCTTTTGGAGCTGGAGTCACGGTCTCTGTCAGGAACAGTATGATATAAGCAGGAGAAAAGATCAGCAGGGCAATAGAAACCTGAAAATATTTTGATTGACAAAACAACATTTGGAAAAAGTTAAAAGGACAATATAATATGTAGATATATACCTTGAAAATGGAAAATTGGCAATGACATACCTCAAAAATGTAATTTCCAGGAAGAAAACGTGCAATAACATTTCCCAGGACATGGGATGCAGAAAAAAGGCCCATCATCCAGCTAAATCCTGCTGTCTTCTTGTCGTCATCAAGGACATCAGCCTGTAAGTGAAAAGAGGAACCATCATTATCATATACATTACATCAAGATAGTAATATACGAATTTCTTTGATTATTTTGTTACCACATAAGCAGCAGAAATGCAGAAAATACTTCCTTGGCTGATGATGAAAGAAATTGTGCGAAGCACATAATAAGCATACACGAAGGGCTTTGACTTATTAATTGCAAGCAAAGCTGCAAAACAAAGAGCAAATTGTGTTCAGAAGAGTACTTAAAAGTGGGATAAATATACTTATGTAAAGCTGCAGAATTATGGAACAGGACACGTGATAGGGATGCCATGGTTGTTTGCAGTGAAATAAATATAGTAAGGCAGGTTTTCCAAATACTTACTGAAAGGAGCTATAGTTGTGGATATAGTAAGAAGGAGAAGTGGCTTTCGGCCGTAATCATCTGAAAGTTGGCCTAAAACTGGAAGGACCACCATTTTGAAGATTCCAACAATCTAGCCAAAAAAAAATAAAAATACTAATCATATTTGAATAAAGAAATGTACTTCATGAAATCCAGAAAGAAGAAGTTGAAGAGCAATGCACAAATTTATGAGAGGCCTCTTGCAAATGATCATAGAGAAGGTAATCTAAAGTTTACTTTCAGGATTTGTTAGTCTCCCAATCTCCATCCTAGGAAGATAGTATTCCTGGGATCTAAAACATCCAGTCGATGTAAACCTAGTCTATTGAATTCAATTTTCAATATCGTCCATTTACCCTCCTCATCACTTAAACCAGTAGTAGCAAGTCTGGTGTAAAAATTAACAAATCTCATCTTTCAGATGGAAAATAGCAAAATCTTAAATTCCAGGACAGTTAAAACTGGATAGTTAAGGCGGTCCAGATGAAATTTACTTAAAAGAAGTATTACACAAATATTTAATTCCTACATATTTCAAAACCCTTCACTCATCCATATGTTTTTAACTTCAGAAGCTCTGATGGTATGGCCAACCTATTCCAGCTACAGAAGTTGATGTAAACTGTTTTCGCCTATTCGGTCGGGAATACATTATGTTGATGAATTTATTTTCTCCCCAGTTCTTCCCTATAAGTTTCTGTTTGGGAAGTAGTTCACTTCACTGTAGTTGTGTCAAATCAATAAGTAGAAAAAGCAGTGGAATCAATCCAAATTCCAAAAGATGCCAAACTCCAAACAGCTCAATTGGCAGGAAATTATCCAAAAATGAGTTCGTCAAATAGACGCCCCCTTGCATGCATGGGGTCCACGAAGTAATCTTATTACAGAAAAATCTCATCTTTATCACCATAACACCACAAATGACATAAGTCTTAAAAGTAAGAGTGTAGACTAATCAAAGCTGATTCTTTAAAGAAATGATATATTACAATGTAACAAATGGTCACGTTGAGATTAAGGCAGTTCAACTATGTTAATCTTTCTTTAATTATAAGGCCAAGCTGACAAACACCAAGTGAATTGAATGAGTGGAAATCCATTGAATACCAAGAAGGAATAGAAATCCTTGATTACTAAATGAAAATTGTTTGAATGGTTGATTAAATTGAAAGAACAGACTTTTCAATTCACAAGAAAAGAGGAAAACTGAAATTCCGAATTGAAGTAGTAATACTTAAAACACTTACAGTTTGCTGAAGACCATTGATGTAGATTGCTTCAGGGCAAGTGGATTTGCCAGAACAGAGGGCAGTAGTGGTGACATCCACAAGAACTGAATGGGTCATCTCTTCAGCAATCCAGTGAACACAGAGCGGCAACAATATGTGCATCATAAGCACCAATTCTCGCTTGTTTCTTCTCCCCCATTCCATCATTCTTTTCTGGTTCCTTTCTTCCCTCTATTTTTCTGGGAATCTCTACAGAAAACAAAAAGATTGAATCTTTTGAGTCTTTTTTTTTTTTTTAAATTTTTATAGCAACGATCAAAACCCAGTTCGAATTAGCAGTATCAGTGGTAGAAGAGAAGAACTATTTTAGTATTTATTTCAAGTCCACACCCAAAAACGCTTGCCTTTTGGAATAGTGGGCATTAAATGGAGGGAATTGGGGTTGGCTATCAAATTGCAACTTGCATTCATTCTTCAAACTTGTACGCCATTTGGGTCTGTCGCGTGCAGGTCCATGTCGATCGTGAGCCATCAAAAGGCTTCCACGCGCCAAAGTATTGCTGAAATAATTTTTCTTGCTTGAGAAAATTATCTTTTTTATGTCATTTTCTCATTTAAAAAAGACATGACTACATGATGTGTAATTGAATGCAGGAAAGAGCATTCTTTTTTTTTTTCTTTTTGTTCTACCCCTTTGGTCTTTACCATGATACAAGTAAATATCAGAATGATGAATATGCCATTAGATTACTTTTATAGAGATTGGGATCAACTACTGTTCTAAACAGATTTAGTGGTCAGCAGAAAACAAAAGAAAATTAATCAACTCACACTTTGACAGGAAGAAGAAAGATGAATAGAGTTTATATGACAAAGTAAACACCCCCCAGAAGTTGAATTTCTAAGTTCAAGTTCACTAAAACAAGACAATACCAATGATGCGTAAACTATTGTCTGAATCATACAATGATACAATGAAGGTAAATTTACTTTCACTGTACAGGCAAACTCAAGACTTGATCATTGAATTGGTACAACTACTCTGCTTTTGCTTCCTTTACAAACGTTGCTTATACTATAACCACAATAAGAATAAAAGGGCATACTCATCTACATACATTTCTTTTGGATTACTTTACTGATGTTCGCACCAAGAATTCGACTTTTTCAATCCCCTTCTATCCCAGATGCTGCCCATTCTTAAGCGCCAATATCTTTTGCCAATAGAACATCATTGATTAGCTGATCATATTCTTTATCACAATGCCTATGGACCAGGCATCTTTGGCGGAAAATGCTAGTCCGTCCAAGCACTACGACAACAGCGGCGTTTCAATGTTTTCGTCATCGATCTCTGAGGTCTTGCATGTGGAAGTCGCCTTAAGTGAACAAGCCAAACAAAGTGATACGGCCTGAATGTTAAAGGAAGCAGTAGAGTGAGGAAAGGTATCCCTAATGCTTTTAAGTTTATGGAAGACACAGATGCAGAAGGTGAGAAACTTATATAGCCGTACCACAGATAAAGATGCACAGATGAAGCTGAAACCTTTGCAGTCGAATGGCGCGTCTTTTGACAGGAATAATGCTGGACCATTGGATCATTCATTACTTTTAAGTGGATTGTAAAACGCTTTAACGTCTCAAGAAGTAAATAAAGTTTCTAACTCACTGGTTAATGGAGTCAGAACAAAAGGTGACAACAAACAGGCAATTGACTGCACACCGGCAATAAATCCTTGTGCCTTTCCCTGTGATCCGATCAAAAGCAATCATTAATAAAGGGATGAAACTAAAAAAATACAGAAAGTTCAAGAAAGGGACTGCAACATATGGTGTGAAGTGATAGACATGGGAACAAGCTTACTTAAACCTTTTGCAGCTCGTAAATCAATTGAAAAGAGAGACAGGAGGGAAGTTCACATACCTGATCACTTGAACTTGATGCTTTTGATATGAGAGCGTAAGTCTGGTAATGAACAAGCAAGAATGAATATTGAGAAATAAAAACAAATACGAAGATTTTATCAGTAAAACATACTTGGTGAAGATGTTTGTTTTGGGGGAGGGGTGGCTACTTACACAAGGTTTCACGAGAACATTTACAACTCCTAGAGAAGCACTCAGGTAAGGAACCTGTTTTAGGATGCCCAGCCATTATTTAGTATGCATGCAAGTTTTTAGCTGCACTTTTACACAGAGGTTGACAAAATTTGGAATGGACATATTCATACCCATGGAGCCCATGCCAATCCATAAAAGAGTGCCTGTGGATCGTGGACAGAAAGTATTTCGTGAGCTCGAATCTCATAACATGAGCCCAATAACATGAAAAGTTTGACGACTTACATAGAGGGTTGTTGAGAGTAAAGCAATGCATAGTATGATTTTTTCTCCAACCAAAGGATTGATAATGGGAAGCACCACCAACTGTAAGAAGCACGAGTATGCAATAAGTAGATTAAGACATTGCGAATAATTTAGAACAGTTTTGAAGCAGAAGTAAGGTGCTCAGCAACAGGGAGGATACATGCGTTAATCACCACTGAATTCTTCGCTACAGCTACAAGTGAATCTCATCTTACCAAAAAGGTAAAGATATCTGGTATTGCAACCACATAATGCAGCTGTTTCTTTTACTATTTAAAAAACAAAGTAAAGGAGATAAAACAGTGCCTTCACAATTATTTCAGTACTAAAACCTTTTTCTGGCTTTAAATATGTTTTCCAGTTCGTTAATTCCACAATTTCAATCTGTAGTCTGTGTGCACATTGAGATACCTAGACATGTCAACCAATTTGGATTAAAAATAACAAATCTTATTGGAATATGAAAACACAGTTACCCCATAGAGGGGTATGCAGCATGAACAACAACCGAAGCTCTTTTGGTGTGTCATATCCTTCTAAGCTGTGCTGATCATTATCATTTTCACTAAGCATGATACTGAGAACTAAAGAAAAAAGTATCATAACGTACCTGGGATATAATCGACCCAATTCCTACCACGATCAGAATTTCAGAAAATTGATTTTTGTCAAAACCAAAAGCTGCTTTCAGATAATACTGCAAATATTGATAGAAGTCAACAAGGTTATGCCTGAGGGATTAAGAGGAAATTATAGCAGGACTACTATTTGGCCACACCTGATTGCAAGTTTTGCGTTCAATAAATTTAATAAATCCTAGAACTTAGTAAGGGTGTCAGTGCAAATAAAATCATCCATGACGCATTCATAAGAGAAGAGGAAAGCATGTGTGGAGTATCTTGTTTAAAATATGAGTGGTATTACGAGACCGTAAATGGAGGTGACAGCTTGGTTGCTTAACACAGACATCTTTCTAGATTGTCCGTTCTATTTCAAATCTTTCCAAAATGTCTCAAATCGCCTAAATGAAGGAAGTGTCACTCTGGAACATGCAACTGTGATTATTAAATTACAGAAACCTACCAGTATGGTGCTGTTGATGCTACACATCCCCAATTCACAGAAGAATAAAACAAGATTGACGCGCTTCAAAGTTGGGCTGAGGAGAAAAAAAGAGTTTCAGTGAATATGCTCTCCAGCATGCTGATGCCATCCAATTGAAGATAAAGCTGATTACATTACCTACTAGTAACAATATTTGCAGTATATATCATTGACTCGTATCGATCGTGAACAATCTTCAAAGCTTTTTTAAGCAATGGCATGCGCTGGTCCTTTTTAGAAGATGGAATTACTGTCTCGGTCATATACAGCATCATATATATAGGAACCAAAACCAACAAGGGTACTGACACCTGCAATGGAGAAACAAAGGCTTGAACAATAACTGGAAGATAACACTGAGGTAGCAGTAGTGTCTTGCCTCAAAGATGTATTTGCCAGGAAGAAAACGCGCAATAACATTTCCCAGGACGTGGGATGCAGAGAGAAGACCCATCATCCAGCTAAAACCTGAAGCTTTCTTGTCGTCATCCAGGACATCCGCCTGAGAATAAGTCAAGATCACCACCATTATCATTTGAATCAACTTCAAGATGGATGTCTACCAAAAGGAATCGAAAAAGTTGTTACCATATAAGCAGCGGTAATACAGTAAATACTTCCTGTACTTAGGATGTTTGCAATAGTCCGAAGCACAAAATAAGCATATACGAAGCCCCTTGACTCATTGAAGGCAATCAAAGCTGCCAGACAGAACATGTATAAGAGTGGATACTACTAGGGTAAGAAACAATGAAAGAAGTTGACCTTGTTGGGCAAAAAGGTTAATAGAATCACAAAAACTTGAGTTATCTTAAACAATTAATATGTCTCAGTTGATGCAGTTCACAAACTAAACTGGGAAAACACATATTTAAAAGACGTGAAATGCTTACTGAAAGCAGGAATAATAGCCGACACAGCAACCAAGAGTGTCGGCTTTCTACCGTACTCATCTGAGAGTTGCCCTAAAACTGGAAGAACCACCACTTTAAAGATTCCAATTATCTACAGGAAGAAAATGAATCTGATTCAAATACTCAAAGTATAAGGCTGAGGAAAAACACAAATTTGTTTTTTACAATGTTTAGCTTCAAGGTTATCGCAAGTCGCAACAGTTCATTACAATGTCTAGCACCAGCATATATTCTCCATCCAAAGTTTATCCTTAAAAAATATTGTCAATGTTCATATTGGTAACTCATGCTTCCTACTCATTTGTTCACTTGTCATCAATAAATTGAGCTGACTAAGTTGCGTTCACATAATGGAACTTGAGTTGTCCAAAACTTGAATCATTTGTCAATCAAGGCCAAAATCTAAGTTAGGGGAAGGAACATAATCAACTCCAAAAGTTGGGATAGCCTTAGATATCTCCCTCCAAGTTTACGTTTTATCACTTAAGCAAGCATATCCATCCTCCAATTTTGCCACAGTTAAACTTGCATTAAGTAACCTTTTGCCTGTCACCTCTGCTATTGAAACCTGAGAAATGGATTTGGAAAGGCTAAAACAGAATCTATCTTAAAAGTGATACCATGCAGAATGGTGAAAAAATAAAAAATTGGAGGTTCATCTTTGGAAACAGCCAATTTTTGGGCTAGCATAAATCCCTCAAACTACTATCACCATCCTTGTCCTTGATGTTAATCCCCCAAATTAAAAATGGTCATGAAGTGAACTAATTCACAAAAATGTAAATTTAGTGCAGCTTAGTTAAGCACAATTTTACAAGAGAGCTTAGGTTTGTTTAGTCATATACTCCCACTTCATCTCAAGTCCATCCAGGATCCACGAAATGACTTTCATTAGAATCTTGAAGTCTCTTCTGGATTCTTAACTGGACAATATGTGCTATCTTACACTGCTACTTAACCCTTATAGAGAAGATTGGACTTTTTTTTTTTTTTTTTGGTTATTTTGAATCACACCTAAGATAAAACTAATCCTGCAGAGGACATCATGATCATGACTTAATTCTATAAAATTGTTCTGCAGACGTGGCAGTTTTACTAAGCCATGCTAATCGACAAGCTAAAGACAAAAAAAGATACCTAATTATATTAGAATAATCCTGCAAACTGTTAATTAATCATTCACATTTGTCAAAGTTAGGATTAAAAAAAATATTGGTTAAGAACATTACGGTAAAAGAAGAACGAGTAAAGAAACTGAATTGTGGAGGAAGACGACCCACCAACAAATATCATTTTAGGTATCAGGAAAGAAGACATCAATCATGATCACCAACTGTTGTTTTAGCACAATTATTTCCACAAAACTAATTGGTTGATGACTCTCCAACACAATATCAAAAAGAAAATGGGGAAACGAGGGGAAAAAAAAAAGAAAAGAAAAGAAAGTTGCAACAATCACATCATTTCATCTCCTAGAACGTGAATTGAAGTAAATCCCAGTTCACATCAACAACACTCATGATCACTAAGGGCCAGAAACTGATAATTTCCAATAATATTATAATATAATTTGGCAGGGGCACAAGACAAAGAAAGTAAGGAACAAGGTTGCAGAATTTGAACTTACAGTTTGCTGAAGACCATTAATATAGAAGATTTGAGAACAAGAAGAATGGTCAGGACAGAGAGTATTAGTGGTGATGTCCACAAGAACTGAATGGGTCATCTCTTCAGCAATCCAGTGAATACAGAGTGGAAACAAGACATGGGCCAGCAGCTTTATTTCTTTCTTGTTGTTCTTCCACCATCTCACCATTGTTGCTTGCTCTGTTACCCTCAATTGTTATCCCCTGAAAGTGTGAGTGAAGTGGGGTGGGTGGGAGAGAATGAGACTGGTATCAATGGTGACAGAATCAAAAGTACCACTATTTATTTCATACTTCGGGATTCCACCGCCCAGAAAACTCAATTGATTTTTTTGGGAATTCATGGAAATTGGAAACCATAATTAAAGTTCAACTTGAGCTCTGACGTAGAAGAATGTGGCAACTTTATCCCTTCTCTGTCTCTCACAAGATTCCATCTCACTGAAATATGGTTTCTGTTTTTTATTCTTTTATTTTGTCAGTTTCCCTTCTCTTTTTTGTAAGACATCCCAACGAATCTAGATTCAAAGTCTAATAAGTTCTTTCTTTTGGGAGACAAAAGCTCCCCTTATAAGGTTTTCGTTTTTAACTCCTTTCCGTCACTGAGGATTTGATAGTTTACTCGTCAATCAAGGGGGATTTCTTGCTGTTTCAAAACAATAGTACATACAAGAATCAGACAATTTCCTGGGTTTGATGTGGGGTGGGAAAATCACAACTACATTTATGACATATACTGCATATTGTTAGTTACTTGCAAGAATTACACAAGGGAGAAATGTACTTCCATTTTGTAAACAGATTCAAGACATGACCATTGATTTATTGGATTAGCTGCAACAATTCTAGTGCTGTTTGGGTTGGTCCTAATGTCCCCCCATAGGCCTTGAATGCCTCGCCACTGAATAAGAGGGGATGTTGTTGGCTTGTAGCTGTATGGTTTTCGTCTGAATGCCCTCTGATAAAACCAAACTAATCGATATTTCGATATTTCAGGTGGAGGACCAAATTATATATGAACTGCTTGAGCAGATGATCGAGTGAGCTGATCATATTCCTAGAGCAGAAAGAGGCAGCTTTGAAGGACAATGCTAACCCGTTCATTCACTGTGACAACAGGGGCTCTTCTACGTTTTCTTCGACAACCTCCATGTTCTTGCTTGAGGGGATTGGCTTTAGTGTACAAGCTAAACAAAGAGACACAGCCTGAAGAAAGAAAATGTAATGTAGCGGATGAGGACCTTGAGGAGGATCTAAACTTATGCACTCGAGTGCAACAGAAAAGGCGGTTGGGGAGGTGTTTTGTAGCAGGTTGTTTGTATGGTCAGATGAGGAATCAGGAAATGAAGAGGCTTACCACAGGTAAAGATGCACACACGAAGCTGAATCCTTTGCAGTCAAATGGCGCATCTTTTGACAGGAATAGAGCTGGAATATCGGATCCTTAGTTAAACAGGATAGAAAAGGTTAAATACCCTCTCAAGATCACAAAGTTGCAAACTTACAGGTCAATGGGGTCATTACTAAGGGTGACAACAAACAGGACAATGACTGCACGCCGGCGATAAATCCCTGTGCCTTTCCCTGTTATTATATCATATGACAGAAAGGGGTAATCCAGGAGCAAAACTAACATTTCGGAATAGTGTCAACCAATAGAATGCTGACATATGCCATGAAGCCAGAGAACGGATATGCATTTGCAAGTTCCGGAATTAAACACAAAATCCAGTTACACAGAGAGATAATGAGTTTGCAAACCTGGTCACTGGAACCTGCTGCTTTTGATATGAGAGCATAAGTCTGATAATGATCATATAGAAATGCAAATTGAGAAATGGTGAATCCGATGAGCAAACTCACTTGCAAATAAAAAATATTGAGGGATACTTACACAAGGTTTGACAAGAACGTTGATAACTCCTAGAGAAGCACTCAAGTAAGTTACCTGTGTAAGATATACTCAAGGATCATTATGCAAGAAAATGTCCAAGCAACCTTTAGCAGTACCCTATCGTAGAAGCTTGACCAAAAGGATTCATTTGTAATATAGGATAATCATACTCTATGAGGTCTTCTTCTTCTTCTTCTTCTTCTTTTTTTTTTTTTTTTTTGGGGGTGGAAATTTTGTCATGAATTTAAAGAGACAAGAAACAATGTATGGTTTCCATCTTCCTAAGGTACGTTGTGTAGGCAACATTTATCAATGAAAGTATTCATACCCATGGCGCCCACGCCAAGCCGTAAAGCACTGCCTGTAAACAGTTGCATTTCAGTGAGTTTTAAATCTGATGGCATGTACACAACAACAGGAGAAGTTCAAACCTGAAACTTACATAAACTGTAGTTGAGAGTAAAGCTGAGCATAATATCACTTTCTCTCCAATCAAAGGATTAATGATAGGAAGCATCACCAACTTCACAAGAAGCAATAATGTGTAATCAGTACATGAAGATATCACGAAGAAGTCAAGGATCTTTAGATGCAAAACTAAGGTGCTTAGTTTGTGAAATCGTTATGGCTACAAGTGAATCTAAAATAATCACAGTTTATAAACCTGCAGTTTAATGAATGCAGATCTTTCTCTTATGGGATAAAATAAGAATAAAGGCAATCTGTTATATTTTCGTTCAATTTTAATGATTTCAATCTGCTTGCGTATTAGGTGCGCCCCCATAATTAGACATATTTGGAAAAGCAAAAGCCAAACTTTGAAAATCTAAGATTGCAATTACTCAACTAACACTTCGGGTATGCATCATGAACAATATTAGGAGCAAATTTGGCTCTGTCATCCACCTCAGCTATGACAATTATTTGCTCAAAAAACATGATATCAGGACTATAGTTAAGAACAAAACAAGGAAGTATCATGAAGTACCTGTGAAATGATCGAGCCAATTCCTACAACAATCAGAATTTCTGATAGGTGATTCTTGTCAAAGCCAAAAGCTGCTTTCAGATAATACTGCAGAAAGTGACAAGAGTCAATTTACTTTCAAATGAATGCGTAGATGGATGAGGATCGTTACAGTCTAAAGGCAAATTTATCATGGCTTAGCTTGACGAGTCCTGATTCAACAGTTTTTAACCAAAGGTTGATTCTCAACCAGAAGCACCAAATCAGCCCTGAAATCCTGTCTAATAATGCCATTACAGCCATTATGCATTAAAAGAAGTGGTAACTACGCAGATATTTTAGTTTGAAATGCACATGATACAACACAAGACCAGAAATAGTTGTCAAATGTGACTGCATGTTTGTTTAAACCAAAAGTCAGTTTACAGTTCATACGCTCCCGGTCAAACTATACAAGAACAGTCTTGGGTTTGTGTAGCATCCTAATCAATGAAGCAACTATTCTACTTTTCATCTTCCTAAACCAATCTCAAATTGATCTATTGCATGATTTAACAATTCAAAAATCTTATATAACTTTATTCTGATAAATTGTACAGCAGAAACGTACCAGTACAGTGGTGTTGATGCTACACATCCCCAACTCATAGAAGAATAAAACAAGATTCACGCGCTTCAGTGTTGGGCTGATAAGATCAATAAAACAATCTCAACAAATATGCTCTGTTGCATCCTGATGCATTTCATTGAGAGGTAATGGAAAAAATTCAACAGCTGCAAAAATATGGAATATTATATAATGTCCCGAATGATTTCAGGATAGACATGAATAGATTACCTGCTGCTAACAAAACGTGCAGTATATCTCATTGACTCGTATCTGTCACAGACAATCTTTAAAGCTTTCTTTGACAGTGGCAAACGCTGGTCCTTTTTTAAACATGGAGTCGTGGTCTCAGGCATAAACAGTATCATATAAATAGGAACGAAAATCAACAGGGGCACTGAGACCTGAGAGATAGCGAAGATAAGAGTTTGAAAGAATCAGACAGCCAATGACTAAAATGATAATACCGGGGATAGCAGCAGTGTATCACATCAAAAATGTATTTTCCAGGAAGAAGACGTGCAAAAACATTTCCCAGGACGTGGGATGCAGAGAAAAGGCCCATCATCCAGCTAAATCCTAAAGCTTTCTTGTCGCCATCCAGGACGTCTGCCTGTGAGCATCTAGGGATAGACCCTGTTATCAATTTTGTAATTTTTGTGGTTGGGTGTAAAGGGAATTGAAGAAACTGTTTTACTACCATATAAGCAGCGGTAATGCAGAAAACACTTCCTGCATATAGGCTGTCTGAAAAAATGCGGATCACAAAATAAGCATATATGAAGCCCCTCGATGTATTGATGGCAATCAAAGCTGCCAGACAAAAAAAAAAAAAAAAAGAAAAGATTAGCTCAGTATAGATCATGTCACTCTGAATAGAAAAATGAAGAACTTGGTTGAGCTTATTGGGGAGTTGGAACAGCAAACTGATATGCTGTTTACCATGAATAAAGTGGGGGAAAAAATGTGCAATACTTACTGAAAGGAGGAATAAGAACAGACATAACCACCAAAAGGATTGGCTTTCGACCGTACTCATCTGAGAGCTGACCTAAGACCGGAAGAGCCACCAGTTTCAAGGTTCCAACAATCTACATGAGGAAAAGACCTACTTTTCAAGCCATTCAAATATAGTAGAGAATAGAAAGGCGGAAAAAGAAAACAAGAAGCAAATTTGCATAGGAAGAATTCGAAAACAAACATCATCTGAGTCATAGAAGAAGACATGATGATCACCTATTTTTTCACACAATTATTATTTCCAGAACTATACAATTGGGTGAACACAACCACACCACCCATTTTCTTACATATAAAAGAACAAGAACAACAACCCACTTTTTACATCCTAGAAAACTAATGGACTAATGAACCAAGAACAGGAAAAAAAAAAAAAAAAAAAGAATTTTGAGAATCACTTACAGTTTGCTGAAGACCATTCAAATAGATGACCTGGGAGCAAGAAGAGTTGTCAGGACAAAGAGCATCAGTGGTGATATCCACAAGAACAGAGTGAGTCATCTCATGAGCAATCCAGTGAACAAATAGCGGAAACAAGATATGGGCCAACAGCTTTATTTCTCTTTGGTTCATCCACCATCCTCCCATTATTGTTGATTCCTTATCTTTTCTTCACTTCCACAAAACAGTCTCCAAAGTGAGATAGTCTTTTGAGACTGACGCACAATCAAGGAATATTCCAGCATATTATTTACACCCCGCAAATAACAAACTGATGTTAGTTTGAGATTTACAAGGAAATAGTATATAATGAAGGGAAGTGGATGATGAAAATCTTTGGACTTCATGGAGGAAATGGTTAAATTAAGCTCGAGCACTGGCAGAATGTATAAGTATAAACTGTATAAAATACTCTCCCTTCAACTCCAGTCCATGATAACTTTGTTTTGTTGTTTCCCTCTAATTTATTTTGTATTCCGCCCATCCATTTGAATATTTCACTTTTTTTTTGTTGGATTTTGAACTATGCAAAATATAGTATTGAAATGGGACGAATAAAGGTGGTACTAATTGAGACAAAAGTATGACCCCAACTAAAGATGGTTGTTTTGCATCCCTTTTTTTTTTTTTTTGGTTTTGGCTTCAAATATGAGTTCCTGGCACCACTATTGCGAATAGTAGTGGTGGTTTTAATCCTTCTTTTGTTAGGTACAATGGAGAGAGTTCGGGAGAAGTTGAAGCCTGCATCTTTAGCTACTGCATTAGGAGGAGATATAATACTAAAACCTACTGTATATTGCTAATTCCTTGTTCACTATGACAACAGGGGGGCTTCAATGTTTTCTTCATCAACCTCCAAGGTCTTGCTTGGGGGAGCCGGCTTTAGCGAACACACCAAAACAAGTGATACAGCCTGAAGGAATAGATGCAGTAAGATTCAGGACATTTTGAATGTGTTAAATGGTTGTAACTTGTAAGTCTCTCAGGGGAAGATGGTCTGTGGAAGCAAGGATATTCAGAGGCCTTACCACAGATACAGATGCGCATACGAAGCTAAAACCTTTGCAGTTGAATGGCGCATCTTCTGACAGGAATAGTGCTGGAGAATTGGATCACATGAGTTAACCAGAATTGAGCAAAAAAATTCTCAAGAAGATTATCAAAAATTTTGGTAGCTCACAGGTCAAAGGAGTCATAACTAATGGCGACAACAAGCTGGAAATGGACTGTACACCGGCTATAAATCCCTGCGCCTTTCCCTATGATTAGATCATCCCGCGCAAAAAGTAACTAACAGTAATAGTTTAAACCAGTGGAATTCAAGAAAAAGGCTTGAAGCAAGATATCCTGAATCAATATACTTCAACCTTTTCAGGTTCCTGAATGAATGAAAAAGAAGATACATAAAGAATGGAGATCACAAACCTGATCACTTGGACCAGCTGCTTTGGATATGAGCGCATAGGTCTGATGATGATCGAAGATTAAAGGTTATCGAGAAATTTGTTAATGGAGCTCAAAAAAATTCACCAGGATTTCATCAGGACTTAGTTACTTGCAAATGAAGATTGAATGATACTTACACAAGGTTTGACAAGAACGTTAACAACCCCTAGAGAAGCACTTAAGTAGGGTACCTGTTTTAGAAATGACCAGGGATCATTCACCGAAAATGACATACAAATTTTATGCTGTAATCTTCCAACAGTGTATAGCAACACATAAGCATTTGTGTCACTTTCTATGATGGATCTAATTCCTATCCTGAAGTGTAAAGTATGCAAATTTTGTAATGAAAGAGGAAAGTGAAGCTCTCTATATTTCCATCTAAGGTACATTTCGGCCAACCTATTATGAATTCAAATGTTCATACCCATGGAGCCCATGCCAAACCATAAAGCAGCGCCTGTGAACGATGACGATTTCCATGAGTTTAAATTTCATAATTACATGAGCATTATAACAGGAAAAGTCTGAGAGAAATGTGACTTACATATGCTGTAGTTGAGAATAACGATGTGCATAGGATTATTCTCTCTCCAACCAAAGGGTTGATGATAGGAAGCACCACCAACTATACAAGAAGCAAGAACACAGAATCAGTACATCATTTATTCGAACAAATTCATTTTTTACTTTTTAGTTTCATTTGTTTGTAAGGCTTTGAAATGAAGGAAAAAAGTAACATGAAGAACCTGGGAAATAATGGAACCAACTCCTACAACAATCATAATTTCGGAGAATTGATTTTTGTCGAATCCAAAAGCTGCTTTCAGATAATACTGCAAAAAGTGACAGAAAGTAATCATCAACTGGTGCACACCAAATAAATCATAAAACTTAATGTCAAGGGGTGGTTGCTAATAACATCAGCCAGGAAAAGAGGCAAAAAGACAGATTTTTCGTTTTAAACGCACATGATGCTAATAGGAGACCACAAGACTGCTTCAAACAGGTCCTTATTCTTGAATCAAACGTTTGTTTTTTACTTCTTTCTAAAGCAGTCTGAATTTAATCAAATTAATTGTTCTGGAATCTAAGTTTGTGTTCCTCTTTTATACTGCAGAAACGTACCAGTAAGGTGCTGTTGATGCTAGACATCCCCAATTCATAGAAGAATAAAACAAGATTAACCCGCTTCAGAGTTGGGCTGTGGAGAGAAATGAAGATTTTTAGCACATGCTACAAATCATGCTGATGCACTCTACTTAGAAGTAAAAAGCTACAATATTCAGGTGCTGCCGGAATCTGTGGACTCATGAGGTGAATATTTCAGGGGAAAAATAGATGATTACTTGATGCTGACAATATTTGCTGTATATCTCATTGATTCATATCGTTCACGCACGATCTTTAGTATGCTCTTCGAGAATGGCAAAGAATGGTCCTTTTTTGAAGCTGGAGTCACGGTCTCAGTCATATACAGAATCATATAAACAGGAACAAAAATCAACAGGGGAACAGAAACCTGAAAATTGCAAAGTGACAGCTTGAAGAAAGCCGAAAAGCAATAAACCGAAACACAACACTCAGATTAGAAGAACTTCCTTGCCTCAAAAGTGTACTTTTCAGGAAGAAAACGGGCAATAATGTTCCCCAGGACATGAGAAGTAGAGAAAAGGCCCATCATCCAGCTAAAAGCTGAGGTTTTCTTGTTATCATCCAGAACATCTGCCTGTGAGAAAATATAGATTTTGGTGACTCTAAGAAAGATGTCTGCGCATAAGTAACTGACTGTGAACTTACCATATAAGCAGCAGTAATGCAGAAAATACTTCCTTGACTTAGGATAGATGAAATAGTACGAAGCACGAAATAAGCATACACAAAGCCCTTTGAATCACTGATAGCAATCAAAGCTGCCAATCAAAATGAGTGGAAATGATCTTAACTTATGAGTGGACACTCTTAGATTAAAGAAATATGAAGGACTTTGTTGAGCCTTTAGAGCAGAGAAAGGTCAACAAACGTTAGTACGTTGGAAGAGATGCCACTTTTGATACAGCATTAGAATCGGAAACAAGAATCAATCTAGTAAGTATAAGATGTGGTAGCACATACTGAAAGGAGCAATACTGGCAGATATAGCAACCAAGAGGGTAGGCTTTCGACCGTACTCATCTGAGAGTTGTCCTAAAGCTGGAAGAACCATCATTTTGAAGATTCCAATAACCTAACATCAGGAAAGACCTACTCATCATGGCAGGAAAGTATATGCATTTCAAGTTCAGAATGTAGAAAGTCAAGAAAAGGTACAAATTGTTAGTCGATCTTTTTTAACCATCAATGACGATGAAACACTTCCATTGATTAACAACATTCAGATTTTAAATAGGGGAATTATAGTTCTAATTTCCTATTCATTTGTTAAGGGGTCATCAGTTCATTGTGCTCACTGAATCTGGATCACCATTCACATAATGGAAACTTTAGTTGCCAAGTCTTCAGCTTTTAAAGTTTCTATCCTTATAAAAAAAATTATCAAAATCCTATGTGATTCAAGACCAAGATATCTTACTTTAGTAACAGAACAAGTCAAAGAGAAGGTTTCAAACTCCAAAAAGTTATCGATTGTGATGATTTCTCACCAAATTTTTCACTTAAAACAAGCTTATGAATCATTCTATTTTGGCTGATCCAAAATTTCATAAACAAGCTATCACTAGGCACCTCTGTTCTGATACATTTTGGAACCTCAGAAACAAAATATGGCACAAAATCATGACAAGAGCTAAAAATGCCAGAGAAAATCCAAAACAGAGAGAATGGTTTTGCAGTAAAAACACAACTGGTATTCTGGAGGATTGCCTTTGCCAGAGGGAAAATTTTCCGGTCACATAATCCGTCTAACTACTAATACTATATCTTCTCATTCAATTTTGATCCACAAATAAAAAAAAAGAAAAGAAAAGAAAAGGTCATGGATTAGATTCTGGGAAAAGTAAATTCCACAACAGCTTGGTAAGCAACAGACAACAGTTAACACAAAAGAGAGCTTTGGTAAATTCGTCATTGATGCCCCATCATTATCTAAGCTGTGGTCCGTGAAATGATTTTTATCAGAATATAAAAACTACAAAGTTCCCTCCTTCTTCATCGTACATCGGATAACCTGTGCTACCTTTTCTAACAGAAGAAAGATAGAATATTTCTCTTTTTCAATTTTCCTGAACCGCATAGAAGAGAGAACTAGTCCCACAAGCAACATCGCAAGCAACATCATGATCGTGACTTTTAAATTTTAAAAAAATGATCTAAAGCTTGGAAATTCAACCAGGATAAAGTCAAGACAACCTAAGGACTAAGGATGGAAAATAAAAAACGATATCTGCAGCCTTAAAAAAAACAGAGGAAGGCGTGAAACTAGTAGTTATACATCTTTGTGAAAAGTCAGAAATCAATAAAATACTACTGATAATAGTAACAAAGGTGTTTCAGGAGAAGTAAGCACGGTACAGAAGAAACTATCATTCAAGAATCACTTCATCATTCCCTATCTTCAATCTCAACCAAAACAATAATAATAATATTAAAATCCGAAGAATGAAAATCCCTTTCACATCCCAGAAAACTTCCCCACAAATCAGGAATAGAGAATAAAGGGCTGGAAAGAGAATGATCAATGGAAGCATGAACAGAAGTAGTATTTTAAAAATCTTACAGTTTGCTGGACGCCATTAATGTAGATAACTTGAGAACAAGAGGAATGATCAGGACAGAGAGCATTAGTGGTAACATCCACAAGAACAGAATGAGCCATCTCTTCAGCAATCCAGTGAATACAGAGTGGAAACATGATGTTCACCAGCAATTTCACTTCCCTCTTGTTTTTCCACCATCCCGCCATTTGTTTTTTTCCCCCTTTCACTTCACCAGAACAAAGAAACAGAGTCTCTCAACTCTTCAAAGATTGAGTCTTTATCTGAGACAGGCAATTAACCAAAATGAAAAATTGAGTCTCTCAACTCTTCAAAGATTGAGTCTTTATTTGAGACAGGTTTATTACAGAATCCAAGGAACTTACCCTCTCCACTGTTTTATATAATTTCCAAACTCCAAAATAAAAATTAGTAGTGGGTTTTTACTATGCTCTTAATTTGGAGGGATGTGGGTTTATGCTTGTAATTCATATTAACCAAGGTTAAGTTTTTATTCATGGATTGGACTTTTGAAGAATGACGTAGAATTCGTAAACTTGTACTCCTTCCTTCCTTTGCACTCTGTCACGAATCACACGATATGAATTTGATGCAACACTTAAACTATGGCTTTTCGTGAGTTGAAAACGAGGTTTAATTTATCAACATTTGGTGTCAACGACATAGTACGTCATCATCACTCAGCTCATGTCTTCTTCACCAAAGAAGGAAAACGGTTTACCGGACAGGTGTCGGATTATTAACGACGGACAAAACATACTCTTTTCGTCAAAAAAAAAAACAAAAAACAAAAAACAAAGAATAAAATGCACCTTTGGTTCATAAACTATGAGGGTCATAACTTCTGGTCATCATTAATTTTTAACTGACAAATTTAGTCATCATTTTTTTGTTTATTCAACAGTTTTAATCAATTTAACGGTCAACTAATGGTTAACTCTTTTCTCCGTTAAGTTTTTTATTTTTTTTATTAATTTTTTACTGTACTAGGACTCGCAATGTATTTTCAAACAACAAAATCAGTCCTTGAATATCTTTTTTTTTCCCAACAATTTTGGTCACTTTAACAGAATTTTTAAAAATTTAATAGCTCAATTCAATTTTCCTTTAACTCTTTATTTTTTATTTACTTAATAGATTGTGAGTTCTACAAGTCTTTGATCAGATTATTTTTTTAAAAAATAAATAAATTAAAAAATAATGAAAGTATTTCCGACCAACTTTCTAAACCTCAATATACTACTCTACGTCTCACCATCACCTCCCTATCGACAAAGTAGCACAGAAAAGGAGACTCATTATTGATTGTTTTCATTGTCAGGGTTTTTTTTTTTTTTTAAGAATTCATTTTTCGGGGAGCAGAAGGGGTTTAGGAAGTTAGTCGGGAATAGTTTCATTATTCGTTTAATTTGTTTTTTTTTAAAAATATTCTGATCAAGGACCTATGGGACCGACGATCCATTACATAATCAATAAAAAATAAAGAGTTAAAGAAAAATTGAATTGAGCCATTAAATTTTTAAAAATTCTGTTAAAGTGACTAAAATTATTGAAAAAAAGATATTAGGGGACTGATTTTGTTGTTCAAAAATATATTGCGGGTCCCAGTTCAGTAAAAAATTAACAAAAATTAAAAAATTAACGGAAAAAAGAGTTGATCGTTAGTTGATTGTTAAATTGACTAAATTGTTGAATAAACGAAAATGTAGTGACTAATTTTGTCAGTAAAAAATTAATGGTGACCAAAAATTATGACTCTCCATAGTTTAGGGACCAAAAATGCGTTTTGTCCAAAAACAAAATTCACTCTATTTGTTAAAGGGTAAACCTCAAAATAGTGTATTCACTCTTCAGTATGGGAAAATGAATCAATAGAAAAAAAAAGATTTATACTCTAATCAATCGTATAAAAAGAAAAGTCTTTTAATTTGGATTTGAAATAACATCTTCGTTCAATGAAAAGATTCGCCTTTTTCAAAAAAAAAAACATAAAAATGAAAAGATTCTCTTTTATGTATGCATGAAGTATTGAAGAATATAATTTATAGACATGTTAGTAGTGATTCAAATATATTGTTTGTTAGTTTTTCTCTGATCTCGGCGCACGTTAAACAGCCCATGCTAACGTACGCCAGCTATGGCTAGGGGAAAAGCGAGAGGCAAGGGAGTCCATCAAGAAGTAAAAAACAACAGTAATCAGGAGATTAGAATGGATTCACAGAATGAATTGTTGAAAAGCAGTGTCGAAGAGTTAGATTTGTTGAGGGGGGCAGGTTCGTTTAGGGTTTCTGCGAAAAGGGATCTAAATCAGAAGGTTTCAAACCAGGAGGGCAGTTTCCAGGAACAAGCGAAGAAACTGAGTGAGATTCTGGGGCTCAACACAGCCAGAAGATTGGATTCGAATGTGGAAGCGCAAGGAGAAAAGGCGGAGATTGGAAAAGCGTGGAGCAATTTTGATGTCAAGAAATTGCGTAAAGGTGGAGTTCCGTTGGATTATGTCGAGCCAGTAGAATCTGAGGGCAGACTGGTGGCGATGGTTCAACAGCCGGAAGTCTAGCCACAGCTTAATTACTGGAAATCATCAATCATCAGTTTTGTTCTCGGAGCTAATCCACCTTACAAGGTCATGGAGGCATATTACAAAAGAATTTGGAAGCACTTGAGCATTAATAAGGTACTGCTTCTCCCTACGGGTCTTTTTGTGGTTAGATTTAACTTTATGGAGGATGTAGAAGACGCTTTATCAGACCCTATTAACTATTTGGGGGCTAATCCCGCAATCGTTAAGCCTTGGAAAGTTAAAAAAGGGGCAAAACATAAGGCAGTGAAAAACGTACCTGTTTGGATTCAACTGTATGGTTTAGAGTTGAAGTATTGGAATCCTGCGGTGCTTAGTCGAATTGCAAGTACAATAGGTAGATCAATTGCTACTGATGCTCTCACAGCTCAACGTGATAGAGAGACTTTTGCTCGAATTTTAGTAGATGTTGAAATTCAGGAAAAACCCCCACTGGTAGCTCACTTTGTGGATGAGGAGGTTAAGCTAATTGAACAAGGGGTATATTATGAGTGGCGGCCAACACAATGTAAACATTGTAAGAATTTCGGGCACGGGGAGGAGGATTGCAGGAAGAAGGAAAATGTGATGGTTGAGAAGAAGATGAAGGGGGGGGGGGAGATAAGGGGAAGACTGGAACCAGTTTTGAATGGAGAAGGGTGATAAAGAAGGGCCAACAAAAGGAGGGTGTCTCAGTTAATCAGGAAACTGATCAAACAGAACATTCCCCCAGGGCCAAACAGTAAGTGATTCTTCAACGAAATACAGAATTAGTACAACTCTCTAATGGCTTTACATTGCTGCAGGGGAATGTGTTAGATATGGATTCTGAGGAAATTGAGGATATAGGGATGACACATGAAAGTGATAAGGGCAAGCAGCCTACGGGGATGAATGAACAAGGGTCTCAGGAGTGCAATGCTAGGTGTGGTAATCCTCTTGACCCTGGTATATGATTACAATTATGCACTGGAATTCTAAGCATTTAAACAGCCCCAGGAAGCAAAAGGAAGTAAGAAGAATAAGTAGTATGTATGCTGTTGATTTATTTAGTTTAGTAGAAACAAAACTAAATAGTATTAAAGAAAGTGAGATGATGGCCCAATATGGGCAGGGGTTTGCATATGTTAGCAATACAGAAAATCAGGATAAGGGTAGAATTATAGTCATTTGGGATCATAATGTGGTCAAAGTGAGTATTTTACAGAAGGCTAAACAGTTTATACACTGCTTGGTTGAAGTTTTAGGGTACAGACAAGCTTTCTATTATACGACATTTTGTGGATCAAATTTACAGGCTGACAGGAATGAACTGTGGAAGGACCTGATTAGATTGTATGGTAATATAAATGCTGAATGGCTAGCTATAGGGGACTATAACAATGTTCTGGGTGTTGATGAGAGAATAGGTGGCAATAAGGTGACTTTAAATGAGCTTCTTGGATTCCAACGATGTGTTGAAATTTTTGAATTGCAAGATTTAAAACAGCAAGGTCCGAAATTCACCTGGTCCATCAAGCAAATAGGTGGTGGAAAGAATTAGTTCCAAGATTGATCGAGCCTTAGTGAATGGAAACTGGATAATGAAGTATCAAAAATCTAAGGTCACTGTTCTAGCTGAGGGAGTATCTGATCACAGTCCATTTCTAGTCCAGATGGAGGAGGAAGTAATTGGGAGGCCAAAGTCTTTAAGTACTTTAACATGTCGAGTCAGTCAAAGGATTTCCTGAAAGAGGTGAAGGCATCTTGGTCAGAACCTATAAAGTGTACTTGTATGTATCAGTTGGTAAGGAAGTTAAAGAGGCTTAAACCAGTGTTGAAGCAATTGAACAGACATCAATTTCCTGATATTCAACAGCAGATGCAGCAGGTAATGGTCTCTTTGCAGCAGATTCAGGAAAGGGTTGGGCAGAATCCAACTGACGAAAGTTTACAAAAAAGGGAAAGAGAAGAATATAAAAATTATATTGCTGTGTGTAAAGCTCATGAGAGTTTTATATATCAGAAGGCCAAGGAGTTTTGGAATAAGCAGAGTGATTCCAATAGTTCGTTCTTCCATGCCAAAATGAGGATTCGAACTATGAAGAATCGTATTTTATCCTTTGTTAATACTGAAGAGGAACTGGTGAGTGACTGGAAGTTAGTAGCTAAACACTTTGTTGGATTCTATCAAGCTCAGCTGGGGCAGACTAGTGTAAGGGAGGAAGCAGACCCTACTGTTTTCAACCAAGGGCCTATACTGGACTGGAAGAAACAGCTTCTGTTAGTCAAGCAGGTTTCGCAGAAGGAGATCAAACGAGCTTTGTGGGATATTCACAGTTGCAAAAGCCCGGGACCTGACAGGTTTGGGAGTGGATTCTACAAGGATGCCTGGGCAGTGGTGAAGGAGGATGTAACCAAAGCTGTGATGGAGTTTCTTGAAACAGGAGAACTGCTGAAACAGGTAAACACAACTTTAATAGCTTTGATACCTAAGCATGATTCTCCACATGTTGCCTCTGATTATAGACTGATAGCATGCTGTAATGTCATTTACAAATGTATATCTAAAGTATTGTGTGAAAGAATCAAACCTGTGTTAGAAGAATTAGTAGATATGAATCAGAGGGTTTCGTAAGTAATAGGTTAATACTACATAACATATTGCTTACGCAGGACTTGATTAAAATGTATGGAAGGAAAAATGTTAGTAGTAGATGTGTATTAAAGATAGACCTTAGGAAAGCGTATGATTCTGTCGAATGGAGCTTCATAGAAGAACTGGTTCAGGGTTATGGCTTTCCTCAGTCTTTTTTGAAAAGGGTGGTTGAGTGTGTTGAAACTCCGTATTATTCTCTGTCTCTGAATGGTGAAAGTTGTGGGGTTTTTAAGGGTAGAAGAGGGTTACAACAAGGGGATCCTTTATCTCCGTTGTTGTTCGTCTTAGTTATGGAATACCTCACAAGGTTGATGAGGGCTATTACAGAGGATTCGGAATTTCAGTATCATCCTCAGTGTAAGAGCCTTAAACTTATGAATATCTGCTTTGCAGACGATCTAATGATCTTCTGCAAAGCTGACTTGTATACTGTGACCAAGATAATGAAGATGTTTAAGAAATTTTCGGCTACAACTGGACTAATGGCTAATATGTCCAAATCAGAAGTATTTTGTGGAGGGGGAGAGGATGTTTTGAAGCAGAAGATATGTGATTTGACGGGCTTTAGAGCAGGGATTTTTCCAATGAAATATTTGGAAGTACCTATATCGCCACGGAGATGGACACAATTGGATTGTGAGTTGTTGACACAAAAGATAGCTTCCAGAATCAAATGCTGGAGCTCGAAACATCTCAGCTACTGTGGCAGGTTACAGCTGTTGAATTCAGTTTTAACGGCAATGACTAACTATTGGTCTGCTGTGTTTTTGCTTCCTCAAAGTGTAACACAACAGATCAATAAGTTATGTAGATGCTTTATGTGGGGTATAAAGGAAGATGGAAAAGGCATTGCACTAGTGAGTTGGAACCAGGTTTGTAGAAGGAAAAAGAAAGGAGGCTGAACATTCAGGATGCTCCAGTGTGGAATCAGGCAGCGTTGATCAAACAGGTGTGGCACATAGCTGCAAAAAAAAAAGACAATTTATGGAATAAATGGGTTCACGAGCAGTATATAAAGCAGCAGGATTTCTGGCAGGTATAACCAAAACAAAGTGCAAGCTGGCACTGGAGGAAGCTGCTTCAACTCAAAGAATTAGTGAAAAATGAATTTGTTGGAACAACATGGAAGCATTCCAGTCATGGCAAGTACACAGTTGACTCTGGGTATCAATGGATAATGGGGAGAATGGAGGAAATACAAGCTGCTGATCTCATTTGGACCAGGTATGCTGTTCCAAAGCACTCTTTTATATTTTGGTTATGCAGGAAAAATAGGCTTCTTAGGGCGGATAGATTGGTAAGGCTGAACGTTGTGCGAGACAGCCAGGATTGCATACTGTGTCAGAGGAGAAGGAGACTGCAGACCACTTATTTTTTGAGTGTGATTATGCAAAAACTTTGTTTAGAGCTGTCTGACAGTGGTTGAATGTACAGAGATTATCAGAGGATCAGATTATGTGGAGAAGGCAAGTTTTGAAGGTTTGCAGGGTATCAAAACAGAAAAGAAGAGTATGCTGGGCTGCAATAGCTGCTATTGTGTATCATGTTTGGAAGGAAAGAAATGGCAGACTTTATTGGAGGGCTGAACTGTGTCTACGGGGATCAAAGAAAGTTTTAGCTCAAAACATTTTGGATCAATTACTTGAATAGTAGATTGTACAGGTTGTAAGAGTTTAGACAGTATGCAAGAAAGGTAGTGAATTTTGGTTGTAAATATACAGTGCAAGTCAATCATCAATACATTTACAGTTTACCAAAATATATATATATATATATATATATATTGTTAGAATTAGAGAATGTATTACCTGACTCGAATTTAATCAATTGGCAATCTCGCTACAGTAATTTCATACACCACATAACAAAAAAAGAAAAAATAAAGTTAAAGCTTCACGTTGGTTTAGTATGATAAATGAAAATGTTATCAGAGATAGATGGTAAAGCTGGATCTATAGAGAATCGTAATTTGCAACAAATATCTTGATAAGTTGGCATTATCACTTATATAACCGCATTAATATTGCATTACTAAAAAGTAATCCCTCCATTTCAAAATAAGTATAGTTTTGGCAAAATGGAGAAATTTCAAAATAAGTGTCGTTTTCGAATTCCAATGCATTTTTTGTCAAAAATTTCCAAACATACCATCAAAAAAAATAATATTATTAGTGAGCATTTATTTTAATGGGGTTAGTTGAGGATATTCTAATAATTTAGTTATCTTATTTAATGTTTTCTTAAACTGTGTGCAAACTCTAGAATGACACTTATTTCGAAACGGAGGGAGTACTATGACATAACATGAGTTTTCTGCCACATTATGTTGATTTAACATTTAACATTTAGTATCAATTTTTTTCTAAGGAAAAGGTTTAATTTAGTAATTTGTCGTCATGATTCACTTGCATTTTTTCACTAACAAATTCTTCACCTTAGTTTTTTTATGTGTGTGTGTGTGTTTTTTTTTTTTTTACATAAAAAAGTCATTGAACCTATTAAAGTATGTAGTGTGGATCATACTGTCAAGTGTCAAATACAATCGCTGGACACTAGCTCAGAAGCATGTTGCATTATTATTGAAGCTGTAAAGAAAATTGTCGCTCTAACAAATTCTAACTAATTAATGAGTGATGGCCATTACTATTCCAAAAAATTATCCAATTCGGATTTTCAATTTAAGTATGAGTTATATTAAAATTAAAAAAATTACATTAAATAATCTTTTGGATACAAAAAGAATGCATATTAACAGCATACAATATAAACAATAATTATTAACTAAGTTTTGTAAGTGAGTTTACACGTTCCTTTTGAAAATAAAAATAAAGAACTCTTATTTTTTAAAGAAATCGAAATTAATAGAGATATATTTAGTGCCGTACGAGAGTGGTTTTTTCCCAATTGATAAGTCTTAATTTAATGACATGTCCTGGGATGGGATGAAATATTAAAGCATATTGGCCAATCTTTAATTATTGATGAGGAGGAAGGCATTTTACTTTAATTTAAAGGCTCTTTTTCTTGCTCGAAGAATCTCTATTTTAGGGACCATCCTAAACCAAATTCATGGACAGCCTGATTGATTTGTTTAGAAGAGATGTACTTCAGGGCTTCTATTTCAGTCTTCACTAGTTTTCTTCGCTTCAAATGATTTATACCGCTTCCAATCGATCTCGATAAATTGTTCATCCATCGATAATCTATAAAACCTTTATACTGAAGTTCGTTAATTCTTGAGTTTAGAAAAATAGTCTTAACTTAAATTATTTGGAGGAAAAAGAAGAGAAGATTAAAAAATATATATATCCATATTGTGTTAAGGAAAAAATTAAATTGCTCAATAAGAAAAGGTAAATATGTGATCAACAATATATTGACAACAATAATTAAATTTTACACCCTTAATAGAAATTTTAAAAATTTAACATCCTTACAAGGAATTTTGAAACCTACATTACCTTTAATAAGAATTTTCCCAAACAAGAATGAAAATAACTGAGGAGTTGCTCTTTTTATTTGTTCACCCAACCACGTATTGAATATTTTATAGAAACTTAAAAGAATAATCAAAGAACTATCCCGTCAACTGGAAAAAATTGGCCGATCTACTCAAAGGTTGACATGCGTTGTCATTTTCACCCTATTCTTTTTCGGTTAGCCAATATTACCATAAACTATCCAACCGTTAGCTGATTTTGTCCAATTTGCCAATTTCCGTTTAAATTAACGGAATTTTGTTAGTTTTAATTACAAAAAATATCTTAATAGTTTTAAAAATTATAAAAATGACCTCAAAAATTTATAAAAATAACCAAATAGTCTTTTTTCACTTTTTATTTAATTTTTCTGTTTTCTATTTCTTTACATTATTTCTCATAACTATAAAAATATATTATTAATCTTAAAAAAAAACTATTTATTTTTAAAACACAATTGTGCAAATTTATAGATATGCATATTCGTAACTCATGGTTGCTTTACATAAACATATTAATTTTTTAATAATATGATTTAATAGTAATGATATTATTTTTTTAATCTATTTTTCAATCTAAAAAATAAGATTATTTAACTAAACCTAATTTTGCACAAAAAATAAAACATTTAGCATAGATTAAATTTTTTTTTATTGGTATACTTTAATGTATTATTAAAATATAATTCAACAGAATTTAGATTGTATTATAAAATTAAAAAAATAATTAAACAAAAATAACATTTTCTTTAAAAGGCCAAGTACAAATAGAAAGTAAAAAAGAAATGGTATAAAATATTTTATAAAAAATATGTATATTTATCATTGCGAGAGTTTAACATTTCATGATAATTTTTTTGAGATATTAACATCTAACTTTAGCAAAAAAATTTTTTTTAATAATAATAAAAAAAATCTGCTCCAGTACTTGACTCCACCTTTAAAAAAAAAAGATCGCCCCAGTGAGAATTGAGGCCTCGAACACAGTAATAATCATCTCCCATCTTAAATCACCTGACCATTAAACTCAACCCTCTCACCTTTAGTAAACCATGCATAAATATGGATAAAATCACTCTCTCGGTTAAAAATTCTTGGTGAGAATTAATCTTATATCTACTATCATGAAGCTCAACACCCTAAACACTAGACTGTACACTATATTTTAGTTTAGTAATTTTTTGAATTGGATAATACAATCTATAGTTTGTTTATTCAATTTGTAATAAATTAAAATGTACTAAAATATTAATTTTGAATCCATGCTAAATGTTTTACTTCTTTTTTTTTGTAAAAAATTGGTTTTTAGTCAAAAAATATTATTCTTTAAATTGAATAAAGGATTAAAAAAACTAATATCATTATTGTCAAGTTATATTATTAAAAAATTAATATGTTATGTAAATCAACAATGAGTTACAAATATACATATCTATAAATTTGCACAGTAGTGTTTAAAAATAAATAGTTTTTTTTAAAGATCATATAATATATTTTTATAGTTATGAGGAATAATAAAAATAAATAAAAAATAGAAAAAATTAAATAAAAAGTGTAAAAGACTGTTTGGTTATTTTTACAAATTTTTAGGATCATTTTTATAATTTTCAAAACTATTAGGTTTTTTTTTGTAATTAAAACTAACAGAATTCCGTTAATTTAAACGGAAATTGGCCAATTAGACAAAATCGGCTAACGGTTGGATAGCTTAGGGTAATATTGGCTAATCGAAAAAGAATATGGTAGAATTGACAACGCATGTCAACCTTTGAGTAGATCGACCAATTTTTCCCCCTCAACTGTAAGCATGTTCATCTATCCACGGACTATGAGTAGTCATGTTTTGGATGACTAGAGAAGTACCCATAAGCAATAACAAATTTGTCTATTTTTCTCTTTCGATTTGTCTAGCCCTAATTTTATCTGCAGAGTTTTTGATTTTCCTCGAGACTTTTTTTTTTCATTTTAATTATCCCTTAGTTCCAAAAGTATTGTCTACTTTTTCATTTTTAGTATAATATTTCTACTAAAAAAATAAAAATCTAAAATGGACAATAAT